TCTCAATGATATCATCGCACGACTACTGCGCAGAGAAACTACTACAGATTACATTGATGATTGCCGACACTTTCATGTCATCATTTTCATTGTAATCACTGCCTCAGCAAGTGTTGTTGTGTTTCATCATGTGTATTACCCATGGTACACTTTTTCATGTACCACATAAAGTGCAAAACTACAGTGGACCCCCGTTGATGTCAACCCTCAAGTTCAGCTGTAAGTGATGACGCTGACGAGAATTGACGTTTGGTGGGGGTGGAAAAATTAGGAACAAAGTTTTTAACCGGATAATAAAGATATTGAACCAATACAGCACATCCTGGCACAGTGTATGTATGCTACGAAGTCATCCCCGACAGATATTTTCAACCAACTACGAAATAAACTCTTTTGATTGGATATGTTGACCTCCATTAGAGGTCAACCCTGGCTTAGGTGTTGACATTGATCTAACATAGAAGTTGACATTTTTCTCTGCAAAAATGTGAGGTGCTCAGAAAAACGTTGACCTTATCGGGGATTGATATTAAAGGGGTTGACATAAAAGGGGGTCAACTGTAATTACCTTTTGGATGACGGCAAGTAAGACAGTGGACGATCTCACTGAGCTTGGAGGGGAATACAGTACCCGCTCGTTAAACCGATCACCTCTGTTTTTTGAGAAAGTGATCGATTTAACGAATGATCGGTTTAAAGATTGAGGGTCTATATGACATACATACTGCTTACCAAGCTGGTATTTTGGGGAAGTGATTGGTTTAACGAAGTATCGGTTTAAGGGTGATTGGTTTAACGAGCGGGTACTGTATCAAGGGGTAGAAAAGAGCTTGATATAATCTTGATATACAGCTTTTCTATAAAATATCAAGATGTTTTCAAACACCTTATTATTTAGCTTTTCGAGTAAATATCAAGGTCTTTTTACACCTTGATATTCTTATGTGCATGTAGTCCCTAAAGCTCACAATTTGATTACATCATGAATGTAAATGTCTATAACGGTCTTACTATACACTGCATTTAAACTGGGTGCCTTCTGCAGTAGGTTCGTAAAAGGAAGGATTACGCATTGCATATATTCGTTCTTTTTATTACACGTATGGTAAACGGACAAAGCATGCTATTGGTTTATATATTCATGGTCATGTTATATTATATATCGTTATGGGTATCCACAACCGTTTTTATTATATTTTGTATAAAAAATCAAGTACAAGATTATGCTTTATAGAACATAAAAGAACATCATCAAATGTAAGTCTATTTTATGTGGTGATTCTAAGAAAGAGGCTGTAGTTGAAAAGAGATAGTGCAAAGGACGGCAGTCGTACTATGGAAAGATGCATGTTGCGTCAAATTATAACTGAAAGCAAAAGCAGCGCAGAAGGAGAATATGTTCTTAGACGATTATGGAGATGACATACCTAAAAGACACATTGAAGATTGTTAGTGAAGAATCCAGAATGCATCATTCACAGCATGAAGGAGTTAAAGACCGGCCGCGAAAGGAATAGTTTGATATATACCAATGGTGTGGAGACAACGAAGCTCGTCATATATCATAGGAAAAGAGTATCAACAAAAATATACATACCTATGTGGCCTCGATCCTTATCGTCCGCATGGGTGGTCAGCCATAATATCATAGTAGCACTCTATTTCTCCACGTTAGGAAACATTAGCAAGGCATAAATAAGTTCGTAGTGTACATATGGCACGATGAGAGGGATGTTACATTGTAGTTAGTCAGGGTTACAGATAAATAGTATACAGTATATAAGATAAAAAAAGTGAAACTTACACTTTCTAGCTAGTATATAACATTTGGCAGCGACGGCACACGGCAGCTTCAAAAGGCATAAAGTACGCACTGTGTAGTATGAAATGGTATAATCAAGGCGTGCATTAGTATTACAGTAGCAAGATGGATCGTCGGAAAATGTAAAAAGGAAAGAATAAGAGCCAAGAAGAGGATCAACTTCAAACAAGACTGTAAATGAAAATCGACATATATAAAAACTGGCTGTTGTACATATCTGTTACGTAGTGAGAGGAAGAAGAAGAAGAAAAAGGAGGAAGAGAAAGGGAATCCAGTGAACCAAAGAAAAGAACTTTTGAAAAGTACTCATCACATGCACACTCACAAAATCCGATCCAAACATTTGCCACAGATTATGCAAGTAGCGCGTCGATTCCACCGACCGACACTTTCCATCTTTCTGTATTCCAATTTAACCTGCCACCTTACACCTTGAGGCTATGAAGGCAGGATAAAGTTGTATCCACTTGGCGTTCCCTTAGTACTAGATATTAAAGCGTGTAGAAAGTAGTGGCCTGTGCAATAGCCATAATCATAGTGAAAAGTAACAGGCTGTACATGTACATAATAAGAAAAGGAAGTGTAAGATATAATGCATGGAAGAAGTCCAAGTATGCAAGGAAGAGCATCAACTGAGATCGTTGATTGCTCCCCCAACGCAATCTATATTGTGCTACTTCATTACCATACCTTTACTTTTATGAATCTCATCTAAATCGCAATCGTCATTTACAACAATATGAAACAAAATAAACGCATTCGATCAGCATCGTAGAATATGTGCTGCCTTGTAATACGCTTTGAGAATGTTTGTATATATATCATAAAATGCATTGTAACATCCTTTTTTGGATCCAATTGATTTCGACATGATATCAATTATGAACACAAGAGCGGCATTTTTTGGCATTGTATATGTTTGTAAGAGAATAGTATAAAAAGTACATGTGATTTCGGCATTGTATACGTTTGTAAGAGAACAGTATAAAAAGTACATGTGATTTTTTGAAGCAAAGGTTGTAGGGAAACTTGAAGATGCAGAACAGTGGTAGTGCGAGGCCCGTCACTTCTTCTAAGGTAGATTAAAATCAATGATTTTTATGTATTTTAGAGGTTCATATGAACCTTAAAATTATATTTTTTTTATTTTTAACTTTCACATGTTATCAAAAATGATTATGTAATCATTTTTGACATGTGATAAAAATAAAGTTCAAAAAATAAATTTTATAAAAAAGATTGAAAATAAAAACTAATATTATAAAAATTATATTTATTTTTAATTCTTTTTAGATGCAATTGCATCTGTATCTTTCAGATTTTTAATACATAGTTTGCATAGTGAATAAATGTTTTTCTATATATATAATTAAGAAAACAAGAATTATGTTAATAATTGTTGTTGTTATATCAGAAATAGTACATAACAGAGGAGGAGGAGGAAAAGAAAAACAAATTGTTTTTCTTAATATTATTATAAAATAAATTTGAAAATATTTTATTTTTTGATTTTAATTTCTTAGCATTTTAAAAAATCATAAGCCTTAGATTATTGTTTTATCCTCTTTACATCTTATAATACCCTGTTTTTAAAGGTCGACTGAATATCAGTTTTTTTTTTTCAGGAAAATAGGCAAGTATTTGTTGGGAAATTGTTATATAGAGTTCATAAAAGATGATGGCTCTGTAATGAACAAAGATTGGCTACTGAACCCAGTAATGCGGTACATATGCTCCCAGTTGTTAGCTGGTGCCATCCTTGAAAGCAAGTCAAAATTCATCCTGGTCAACACAGTTGAACTGTATAGACGATACACCATGGATGATGCGTTAAGGGGAAAAATGGGAATAAAAAAAAGTACAGATGTATGAAAGGATTTTTTTTAGATCCAAGTGTAAATGAGATTGTTATGTGTGTCGTGTTGTGTAAGGAGTGCATGGATTTAATTTTTGAAAATCCAAGAGTAAAAGAAATTCATTAGTTGGGAGGTGGTGGCATACTGACTGATTTTCGCTTGTTCGACTTACTTGGTGACAACGCATCAAATTCTTCATCTTGAATTGTTGGCCGTCGTTTCAAATACATGGTACTGATTTGATCAGAGGGCAAGGGAACACAATTTTTTTCATAGCATTTCAAGACTGCAGCAATATTGTCAAAATAGTGAATGAATGCACCGAGATCCTCGATGCAAGATGATGCTTTGACTTTTGCGATTTCTGTCAAAAAGTACATTCCATCGGCCTGGAGTTCGTTGATAAAAAAAAGTAATCGTATGATCTAAAGAAAAAGAAAAGAAATATGCTTACTTTAGTGTCCCCATTCATAATTTTCAGATAATATCCAGCAAAAGAAAAAAAAAACTTACTAACAACTTGAATTGCCATGCAACTTTTCAAACCAGATGTATCAATTTATTTTTTTGTTAACATTCCCAATCGGACAAGGTCTTTTGAGATCCGATACTTGTTGTTTTCTTCAGCAGCTGGCTTTACTTCAACATAGCCAAGTGACGATCCAAAATAAAGGCCATTCAATTCGCTAACACAGGAATCTGGACGTTGACTTGTGATGGAGCCCTTAGCCAACGAATCCTTGCACTCCTGGTTAGTGGTGCTTGTCCTAAAAAACCCACAATCACAATTAGCAGGTCTATAACTTGCTGATTTGTTTTAATAATAATAAAAATAGTTTACCATCAGAACAAAGTGTTGCATTCGGGATCGTCAAATAATGCTGATAAGATGGGGTCAATATATCTATGGCAGAGTTCCACTTCTTTGATCTCGGATTTTAAAGCTTTATTGGGCAATTTGTCAAGTCCAAAAAAAGAAAAAAGGTTATAAAGTTGTTTTTATTTTATTATTAGTATAGAAAAATATACATACAAGTTTGCAATAGACTTGATCAATTTCTTTTCAATATTATTTTTATTCTTGGACAACGTAAGTAAATCGATAACACCATCCAATCGAGTAGCTTTTTTATTCTTGACACACTGAATAAATAAATAATAAATACTATGAGTCACTCTTGTTTTCGACCTTCTTACCATCATTATTATCACTTTTTTTTTTACCTTGACTACTTGTCTAATCTTTTCTGCTAACTCTGGATCGAAGGCATCCCCACTATATCGACCAGTGTTGTATTGTTTTTGGAGTTTGTCGTCAATAGCATCCAGTGTCTTTTTTCCTATTATTGCCTTTAAATCGTCATTGTACTTGTCTTTTTGGACCAAGAATATTGAAGACAATGCCCTATTTGGAAGAAAAAAAAAGAGAAAAGTTAGCAACTCATTCTTCTTCCTCATTCGATTTGTTTACTCTTTCTCACCCGATTTATTTACTTACAAGATTTGCTGAATATGGGTTTCCATGAGTAATTCCTTGTAATTATTCTTCGACACAAGTTGAAATGCATAAAAATGGATTGAAACGTCGGTCTCCCCAAGTCGATATCGATCTTGAATTGAAGGTACCTTGATAGTAGCATGTTCAGTGGTTTCCTCACTACTAGTTGTGTTGGTTTCACTGACTTTGTTTGAATGATGTCTACTACCACTATCATTAAAAAAAGAAAAAGAAAAAAAATTATTAAGATCTCTAATACCAGCCCATAATATATTCTATTACACACTTACTACACACCTTGTTATATTTTGGTCAATAGATTGGAGAACACCTTTAGTAACTTGGTGACTCATTTTTCAAGGATTTGCATGGCTTGCAAACGATAAGAATTTTCAACTCTTGACTAAAAAAAACCAATTATCGTATTAGACAATTTATCTAATATTTGCAATGTTACCAGAAGCATAATAAGGGAAAGAGCCTTTCGTGTTCTTACATACCAACTGTGTTACTTCTTTTTCAATATCAAACCACAAATCCTTATCATGCATGATACTTTAAGTTATAAAAAGTTGTTAGCATCATGTATATAATATATCTATTGATGCAATCACTGTTGTTCAAATTGAGAAAAAAACACAAAAAACTATATGCTTACGAATGATAACGTTCTTTTTTGACATATTTCCATAACTTTGTGAATCTCTTTCCATAACGAATACAACGTGTTTGCATAATGCGCATTCGAAGTCAAAGACCAAATACAAACATCCTTTACATTACTTTCAAAGAATTCAGTAAAAGTAGGTTTGGGGGCATATTTTATGTACTTCTTGAGTTGAAGGAAACCAGGATAGATTTCAATGTTATCTATTGAATTTGCCTATACAGGATTTCTTATTTCATAGCAGACGTTTGAACTTTTATTTAGGCAGAAGGGATTTAATTTTAGGCAGAGTGGACATGAATGTTAATCTGACTGGACATGAATATAAATCAATCTGGACATGAATGAAAATCGATCTGGACATGAATGAAAATTGAGCTGGACATGAATGAAAATCGAGCTGGACATGAATAAAGATTGAGCTGGACATGAATAAAGATTGATCTGGACATGAATAGGGATCGATCTGGACATGAATTAAAAACGATCTGGACATGAATATAAATCGACCTGGACATGAATTAAAATCGATCTGGACATGAGTAAAATCAATCTGGACATGAGTAAAATCAATCTGGACAAGATAATAATCAATCTATACATGAATGAAAATCAATCTGGATAAGAATACTAATCAATCTAAACATGAATAATAGACAACCTAGACATAATAACAGTCAACCTGGACATAGTTTTAGTCAACTAAGACTTAATAAAAGTTGAAGTAGATAATATATTAAGTGTAGTAGAGCAGATCAGCAGAATTTTAAGTAAAGATTTTCAGTTCAAGTCAAGACATAATAGAAGTTAAGCACTACAAAGCCAAAGTCAAGTAAGATATAGTATAGCTGTTTCACTCGTGATAGGAAGCTTGAAGGCTAAGATACAGGAAATGGCAAGAGTGCGTCAGAGACTTACTGTGTGCACAATCCTACTATTTTGTTGTGGGAACAGGGCCTGAACGTTTCCCCTTATTTCACCCTAGTTGAGTTTGAAGCAAATTTGAGGCTGGTGGCTGAGGTAGGTGGAATGTGTGGGGTTTGTTAGCAGCAGCAGGGAGGAAAAAACCAACAACAGCCAAAGATCTCATTACCATTCGCCAGGGCAACAACAGCTGTGACGCATACTTGTAAATGGGTTCTACTCTCTTCACGATGAATAGAAGAAAAAGAAAATAAAACAGCACATTCCACGGATTAATTGAAAAATGAAATGAAGGTAATTGTTTTCTTAAAAAAAGCATGTGCTCAAGATTTGTAAGGAGTAGACCGCCGTTACTGCTTGGGTAAGTGAACAAGGGAAGGAAAGAGTTATCGGTTGTGCTTGGGGTATAGCTTTAGTGGATATATGCCCATTCAGAATTACCGCTTCTTTCTCTTTTTCTCTACATATACTCATGCACCATCTTGCACCATTCCAACGTCAAACTTACGTGTGTAATACAACATCGTCTTCTACTTGCATATTCGATTCGTACTCACAACAACAACGACGCTTGCATAATCGATTCGTACTCACAACAACGACGCAACAATCTTCTTGTCTATTACTCAAACACAATCATGTACAACCTGACGCTGATCCACCTTTGGCTTACTAGCATACAGCCTGACGCGATTACATTTTTCCTTTTGCATATACCAACATTAACATCGCCGGTCTTGATGGATAAATGAGCTGTAGATAACAGGAAGGATAAATGACGGGTTTCTTTCCTTTTGTGTTGATGTGGATTGGATGAAAATAAAGTATGATGACCGATATATAAGAAAGACAAAAAAGAAGGTTCTATAAGAGTTATACAAGTGCAAAGGATGGTTATTGTAATTATTGGCATTGCATGGCAGAGCGTCTGATGCCACTCACAGTCTCGCGTTTGTGAACCCATTGTAGCCACACAATTCCGAGATGCGATCCTTAAAGATCTGCCATTGGGCAGCAAGAAGGCGCACGATTTCATTGGGAATGAGTGCAAGAACTCCACGTACAGTCGAGTGAGAGAGAGCGTAACGAATGTTGTCAAGGGTAGTAATGTGTTGGTTGTTCATAGTTGTTGGTTTTTAATGAAAAAATAAAGTTGCTGTTGTAGTAGCAAAGAAACTTCTTCCTCCTTCGAAACAACAAACGCCTTTTCTTCTTTGTCCCTGCCATATTATCATCCTGCTGACAGCTATATCTATAGAAGCACTTGTAATAACATGCAATCCCATCTCACACCCGTTTATGCAGACAACTGAAACATAATGACGGCATAATGTATGATCTTTTACTTTTATTTCTTTATCCCAACCATTACATCTACAGTAACAATAATAAAACCCTACATTCCATCCATCAGCATATATAACTACCTTATCTATCAAGACCAGTGACGTTTGTATTCGCATATGCAAAAGGAAAAAGGCAATCGTCGTTGTCACCATGTGTGTGCAAGTACAGCGAATTACAGAGGAGGATTATAGTCGTGGTGGTGTGTATACATCATAAGAATAAACTTATCATCGCATTGATGCATGTACATACAGCAAAGAAAGAGATGCCTGTCACTATGATGATGATGTGCGTGTGTGTATAAGTATAAAAACAAAAGAACGGTGTCATAGTCGTCCTCATGTAATATGGGCGTACATGATAGTGAAAGATAATTGCGTCAGGCTGTATGCTTGTAAGCCAATGGCGGATCATCGTCATGTTGTACATGATTGTGATTGAGTAATGGAGAAGAAGATTTGCGTCGTTGTTGTTGTGAGTACGAATCGAATATGCAAGTAGAAGACGATGTTGTATTACACACGTAAGTTTGACGTTGGAATGGTGCAAGATGGTGCATGAGTATATGTAGAGAAAAAGAGAAAGAAGCGGTAATTCTGAATGGGCATATATCCACTAAAGCTATACCCCAAGCACAACCGATAACTCTTTCCTTCCCTTGTTCACTTACCCAAGCAGTAACGGCGGTCTACTCCTTACAAATCTTGAGCACATGCTTTTTTTAAGAAAACAATTACCTTCATTTCATTTTTCAATTAATCCGTGGAATGTGCTGTTTTATTTTCTTTTTCTTCTATTCATCGTGAAGAGAGTAGAACCCATTTACAAGTATGCGTCACAGCTGTTGTTGCCCTGGCGAATGGTAATGAGATCTTTGGCTGTTGTTGGTTTTTTCCTCCCTGCTGCTGCTAACAAACCCCACACATTCCACCTACCTCAGCCACCAGCCTCAAATTTGCTTCAAACTCAACTAGGGTGAAATAAGGGGAAACGTTCAGGCCCTGTTCCCACAACAAAATAGTAGGATTGTGCACACAGTAAGTCTCTGACGCACTCTTGCCATTTCCTGTATCTTAGCCTTCAAGCTTCCTATCACGAGTGAAACAGCTATACTATATCTTACTTGACTTTGGCTTTGTAGTGCTTAACTTCTATTATGTCTTGACTTGAACTGAAAATCTTTACTTAAAATTCTGCTGATCTGCTCTACTACACTTAATATATTATCTACTTCAACTTTTATTAAGTCTTAGTTGACTAAAACTATGTCCAGGTTGACTGTTATTATGTCTAGGTTGTCTATTATTCATGTTTAGATTGATTAGTATTCTTATCCAGATTGATTTTCATTCATGTATAGATTGATTATTATCTTGTCCAGATTGATTTTACTCATGTCCAGATTGATTTTACTCATGTCCAGATCGATTTTAATTCATGTCCAGGTCGATTTATATTCATGTCCAGATCGTTTTTAATTCATGTCCAGATCGATCCCTATTCATGTCCAGATCAATCTTTATTCATGTCCAGCTCAATCTTTATTCATGTCCAGCTCGATTTTCATTCATGTCCAGCTCAATTTTCATTCATGTCCAGATCGATTTTCATTCATGTCCAGATTGATTTATATTCATGTCCAGTCAGATTAACATTCATGTCCACTCTGCCTAAAATTAAATCCCTTCTGCCTAAATAAAAGTTCAAACGTCTGCTATGAAATAAGAAATCCTGTATAGGCAAATTCAATAGATAACATTGAAATCTATCCTGGTTTCCTTCAACTCAAGAAGTACATAAAATATGCCCCCAAACCTACTTTTACTGAATTCTTTGAAAGTAATGTAAAGGATGTTTGTATTTGGTCTTTGACTTCGAATGCGCATTATGCAAACACGTTGTATTCGTTATGGAAAGAGATTCACAAAGTTATGGAAATATGTCAAAAAAGAACGTTATCATTCGTAAGCATATAGTTTTTTGTGTTTTTTTCTCAATTTGAACAACAGTGATTGCATCAATAGATATATTATATACATGATGCTAACAACTTTTTATAACTTAAAGTATCATGCATGATAAGGATTTGTGGTTTGATATTGAAAAAGAAGTAACACAGTTGGTATGTAAGAACACGAAAGGCTCTTTCCCTTATTATGCTTCTGGTAACATTGCAAATATTAGTTAAATTGTCTAATACGATAATTGGTTTTTTTTAGTCAAGAGTTGAAAATTCTTATCGTTTGCAAGCCATGCAAATCCTTGAAAAATTGAGTCACCAAGTTACTAAAGGTGTTCTCCAATCTATTGACCAAAATATAACAAGGTGTGTAGTAAGCGTGTAATAGAATATATTATGGGCTGGTATTAGAGATCTTAATAATTTTTTTCTTTTTCTTTTTTTAATAATAGTGGTAGTAGACATCATTCAAACAAAGTCAGTGAAACCAACACAACTAGTAGTGAGGAAACCACTGAACATGCTACTATCAAGGTACCTTCAATTCAAGATCGATATCGACTTGGGGAGACCGACGTTTCAATCCATTTTTATGCATTTCAACTTGTGTCGAAGAATAATTACAAGGAATTACTCATGGAAACCCATGTTCAGCAAATCTTGTAAGTAAATAAATCGGGTGAGAAAGAGTAAACAAATCGAATGAGGAAGAAGAATGAGTTGCTAACTTTTCTCTTTTTTTTTCTTCCAAATAGGGCATTGTCTTCAATATTCTTGGTCCAAAAAGACAAGTACAATGACGATTTGAAGGCAATAATAGGAAAAAAGACACTAGATGCTATTGACGACAAACTCCAAAAACAATACAACACTGGTCGATATAGTGGGGATGCCTTCGATCCAGAGTTAGCAGAAAAGATTAGACAAGTAGTCAAGGTAAAAAAAAAAGTGATAATAATGATGGTAAGAAGGTCGAAAACAAGAGTGACTCATAGTATTTATTATTTATTTATTCAGTGTGTCAAGAATAAAAAAGCTACTCGACTGGATGGTGTTATCGATTTACTTACGTTGTCCAAGAATAAAAATAATATTGAAAAGAAATTGATCAAGCCTATTGCAAACTTGTATGTATATTTTTCTATACGAATAATAAAATAAAAACAACTTTATAACCTTTTTTCTTTTTTTAGACTTGACAAATTGCCCAAAAAAGCTTTAAAATCCGAGATCAAAGAAGTGGAACTCTGCCATAGATATATTGACCCCATCTTATCAGCATTATTTGACGATCCCAAATGCAACACTTTGTTCTGATGGTAAACTATTTTTATTATTATTAAAACAAATCAGCAAGTTATAGACCTGCTAATTGTGATTGTGGGTTTTTTAGGACAAGCACCACTAACCAGGAGTGCAAGGATTCGTTGGCTAAGGGCTCCATCACAAGTCAACGTCCAGATTCCTGTGTTAGCGAATTGAATGGCCTTTATTTTGGATCGTCACTTGGCTATGTTGAAGTAAAGCCAGCTGCTGAAGAAAACAACAAGTATCGGATCTCAAAAGACCTTGTCCGATTGGGAATGTTAACAAAAAAATAAATTGATACATCTGGTTTGAAAAGTTGCATGGCAATTCAAGTTGTTAGTAAGTTTTTTTTTTCTTTTGCTGGATATTATCTGAAAATTATGAATGGGGACACTAAAGTAAGCATATTTCTTTTCTTTTTCTTTAGATCATACGATTACTTTTTTTTATCAACGAACTCCGGGCCGATGGAATGTACTTTTTGACAGAAATCGCAAAAGTCAAAGCATCATCTTGCATCGAGGATCTCAGTGCATTCATTCACTATTTTGACGATATTGCTGCAGTCTTGAAATGCTATGAAAAAAATTGTGTTCCCTTGCCCTCTGATCAAATCAGTGCCATGTATTTGAAACGACGGCCAACAATTCAAGATGAAGAATTTGATGCGTTGTCACCAAGCAAGTCGAACAAGTGAAAATCAGTCAGTATGCCACCACCTCCCAACTAATGAATTTCTTTTACTCTTGGATTTTCAAAAATTAAATCCATGCACTCCTTACACAACACGACACACATAACAATCTCATTTACACTTGGATCTAAAAAAAAATCCTTTCATACATCTGTACTTTTTTTTATTCCCATTTTTCCCCTTAACGCATTGTAAACAGCCATAAACTTGTAATATAACAAACATTCTTAGTAACACTATTGCTATTATTACCATCATTATCTTTCTTCACATTTTTTACGCATACCAAAAAACAAAAAATCAAAAATTTTTTCTATCACAAAAAAGTAAAAATAAAAACTACAACAATTTTCAAAGGTTTACAGGCGATACATCTATGGCACCTCCAGCTGCCACATTCGGTAGTTCTGTGCAGAAATTTACAAAGCAACCTGGTAGCTTATCATACCGACAAAATAATTGAAGCAGCCTATTAGAATTATATCATCTATTATAGAAAATGCGCTGTGCAAAGTTAGTAGGTGTAGTCATGACTAACAGCACTGATAGTGGATCAGACAATGCAGACGAAGTTGCACTTGCCCAGATCAATGATTATCTAAGCCTTATTTATGGTGCCAGCAACCTAGTGAGCTTCAGACCCACCTAAGGAATTTACAGCTGTTCATCTACTGCTGTCCAATGATGCAATGAAGAAATTGCTAATGCTGTTCTTAATAAAAAAAAATAGCTGATGATGATGTTGTTGACAATGACAACAAAGACATTAGCATGACTGTTTCATCTGAACCTGTTACACTAGTTTATACTTTTTAAGAAAAAACAATCAGTATATTAGATGCCTCAGCAGAACATCAAACCATTCAGAATGAGCTCAGAAAAATCTGCGATAATTTCTGTAAGAGAAGCCAGAACAAACAATCCAGAATCACCAATTACTTTCAGTGATAAAACCTTTATATATTGAATATACACCTTTTATATAGAAAACTGGTAAGTATTATTGGTTTGATTCTCAGCATCGCCGCTCTCTGGGAGAATGAAAACCACTAGTGGGAAATTGCAGGTCCTGTTTTTTGGGCTGCAAAATGCAAAAAGTGAGGAAACTGCAATCTACTAAGTGACGACCAGGATTCTTCCAAAAAAAAGCCGCAAAAACTGAGGATCTGCAAGATGTGGAGGTGCGAAAAACAAAGGTCAACTGTATTTTTAAACAATTGAAATGTGTTTGATCATTTAAAAGGTTATCCTTTTATAATGATCATCAGTGACAGGCTAGAACTTTAGTTCGACGCCCAAAAGAATCTTTGATTTTTGAGCTTGACCGTGAGATCCTTAATGATAATTAATTTACTATTTACAGTAAATTTAATCATTATGGACTGATACACAACTCGGACTCATCATTAGCATACCTTCACACTGCTTCTAGCACAGGCGTCCATTGATGACAGCATCGTCCACTCGTCCCCTCTATATCATCTCCCTTCTATACCATACTCAGAAATATGAAGATTCCCAATCATCTTCTCAACTGTATATGTTTTTTTATAGCCATCTCCGCCCCATTGTAGTTCTGTTTTACTTCTTCGTCCCTTTGTTGTTCTTCATCTTCTTCTTTACAGTTCATAAACCATGCACACAAATAGCAAACCCCAAAATCCGTACATATGATTTCTTTTTCCTATCCATTAAAGCGTCGAATACAACATACACAATAGCATGCATATTTCAAATGGCAGCTTTAAAAGCCAACAGCGTCACAGATCTTTGAAAAATAATTAATGGTGCTTGGCAAGTTTGGCAATTGACGGAGGTAGTGCGTTGGCAGCGGCGCCAAGATTCATGAATCAAAGATGCCAAGGAAGAAGCGTAACTTGAGTGCATTATTACAACACCACATTCAGTTACTGCTGCATGCTTGTAAAACACTTTATAGTTCTCCTTCTTTTTCTTACTCCATGTCTGCACTAATTCCACATGAAAATAACATGTGTTGCATAAAACAATACTGCGAGTAAATGGCATTTGCATATTGTCTATAATGCGACCAGAAAGATCATTCCTTCCCGCAACATCAAGGACAGCATCATATGAGCATTTCAAACATGCTTTCCATGTGATCCGTATGTTTGCATTCTTAGTTTTAAATGTAAATCAAACTTTAACTTGACAACAATAGGACAAGCAGCAGATGTAGAGAGCTACTATATATCTGTTGCTGGAACATCCTCTTCCTTTGCTACTCTCTGCCATATTGCAGCATTTGGCCTTTGATTCACCAAGTTTGGCTATAGTACAATGAAAGGTCAATTGGGATTGGAGAAAACGGACAGACCCAGTGCAGTTTTGTAGTGCACTTTATGACTAAACACTTCGATGGGAAACTAGTCTAAGGAATAATTCTCACACTCGTACTCACACGTTCTCTCCTTCTTTGTGTGTATGTGTACCCGTTTATGGAGCAGGACTCTACACTGTCGTCTATGGAATGAGCATATGACGATGCCATTAATTGTAGAAATATGAATGACATCATTCCGGATCGTTCTCAGACTACTGTATGAGTATATAACAATAGGTTGCCGGCCCTTCCCATCTCATCATCATGATTCATCATCATGCCTGATACCCACGGTATCTATGCGCTTCGCTTCAAGTATTGCATAAAATTTATCAAAGTGCAGTGTTATTTTATGAAGACGGTAGCACACAATGCTCAGAATTCAGCGCTGGATAAGTTTGAACCATTGAAAACGAAAGAATTCGGATTCAAGGTAAAGGTCAATACATCCGCAAGCTTGTTATACCACTAAGCTTTTATTTCCAACAAACAAATTAAGAGCGAGCACAGTGGATGTGGTCGAGTACACAGCCGGAAGGACGACCATGGTGGCAATACTTGACGGAGTACAAAAACTTTATCGAAATGGCAAAAAAGGCTATCCGGATATCTCAGATGTCCTTCGCTTGCTTGCGTGATCTTTGTTGTTGCACGTAGCTAGGGTACTATTATACTTTACTCTGTTTTCTTCACAGGTTACGTATATGATACTATACAGAACCTCTCAGTTGGAAAGGGCGGGATAAATTTACTAAAGCGGCTGTGTTGTAGAGCGGATCCTTCTCTTTTCTTGTAAAGAATGAAATGAAGAAATCGGAAGAAACATAATTTATATGTAGTAAAGAAACGAATTCACTGAATATATGTAAAATGATGCTTTCTAGTTAGTAATATTACTTAATTCTTGCCGTCATGATACATGTACAATACGATAATGAGCGATATATTGTAGTGTGGACAGAAGTAAAGTTGCTGTGTTCTTTCTGAGTGGATCTCTAAAGTGCGCGACACTTACAAGACAGAATTGGTTTGCTAATAAATACCAACAATAGCTACGTCTCAGTTATGCAAAAGTATTTGGAAGCAGTGTTGCACATCACGCTCTACTGTGGATTTTTTATGTGTACACATTCTAGCACCGAAGCGAATGTGCAACCAAACAATCTAGATTTGTTTTAGTTACATGATGCCGCTGCTCCATGAAATCGAATTGTGCCATTGCTTTTCTTTTTTCTCGGATGTCTAGCCACTATATTGTAGTTCATCTATGTTTTTGGCGTGTGTGATTGTGGTAGCACACCCTTAAAAAAGTAGTGGGCATCAATCTCGCTGCGCGCCGAAAGTAAAAGCCATCAAACGCATACATATTTATGTATGCTACGTGTCCCGGAAGTTTGAATTCAAGAAACCCGTGGCAAAAGTGGATTATTTTTCTGTAATAAATAAATTCAACGCTGACGTGTTAACAAAATGATGTAGCAGCACATCTTGAAATAAAGCATGCCTCAATCAGTCACGCCACCTCATCATTTTGCATGTATACATGCATGCATGTAACCCACAGTGACAACAACAACAACAACAACAGCAACAGCATTAGCATAAGCATACTCAATAATCATCATTCTCATACGCTACGCAACATTGGCTGATAATCAACAAAACCGCGTGTGAACGAATTCCCTCATGTTAGTGTATTGAGTTGGGCGATGCAGAAAATGGAGGATGAAGCTTAACTTTAAACTGTCAAAGGCTTTCCCTGCTGCCTTTTGACCGATCAAACGATAGGACACACTCAAACAATTACATAGGGCGGCTATTCTAGGAGCATCCCGGAAGTGTGAAAAAAAAATTAGGAGGAATTGCTGATTTACTTGATTGGGTCAAGCTCGTATACAAGTCATCCGACAAAAACCAGAAAATGATCAGGACCAGCTAATATTATTTGTGGTGGTGGTGTGTATTGTTTTGTTGCTGTTGTTTTTCGTTGATGACAAGGGAGGAAATATATAACATTTTGGGGGATATATTCTGCATTCTATATAGTGATTATCACATGATGAGACGGAGAGAACAATATTTACCGGATTCGATGGTGGAAGAGCGGAAAGGAGGACACCCTGAGATGAGTAATAATGATGATGATAATGCGCTGCTGTATAATGCAAGAGGAGACGGCCGGATAATTGATTTTGAGCAGAATCGGAAACCTAATCAGCCAGGGCGAATGTCGATTTCCAGCTATTGTTGTTGCTGGCCGGAATATTATTCTCTCGAATGCACGGCTTTGTAACTGGAGCCTTGTTTATCCGTGCACCCAGCACGGTGGGATCAAGGAGGTCCAGATCACATTCAAACGTCTTCGGGACAATTGTGCATGTTGACGATGATTGCTGCTGCTGTTCTTGGACGCCGTAGCGCAGTTGCCATGCACACGCGTAGGCCGTGTCCTTTTTGCTGCTGCTGCCTGGATACGAGACGCACGTCAATTCATTCTGTTTGACTGTGAGGGAGGCCGGAACCGCCGCGGCCTTTTTGTACGAGACGCTATGTATCCGACGATCGCCCTTATCTCCCGTTGACAGCACAGTCAAACCATCAATGACGGGTGCTTCTGACGATTTCTTCTTGTTGAATGTGTGGTAGTGCTGGTCTGGTTTGGCCGTAAACACAAGCTTGCCCCGTTCCTTGTCAAAATCGGACCACTCAAAGTCCATCGGCTTGTGGCCGACCATGCCCGGCTGCTCGATCCACAGTCGAATCGTTGCGCGCGACATGTGTTGTGAAGTCAGACGTGGAAAGGCGAGCGTTCGGAATAGACGGGAGCATTGACAGAGCTGGAACAGGGACGAGCTGTCGACAAATGTAAAGATGTGATCGATCAATTCGATAGGAAAGGTGGCTGTCATTGTGCTGTCTATGAGTTGGTATGCAGGCTACGTATCGTATATTATGATGATGATGTGAGGATTCCGAGGAATGAATTTATTGTGTTTATGATCGCACGGGTGGCTAGTGATGTGTATTACCTGATTAACGGGAAATTAGTTCTGGGAGTGAGTGGATGAATAGAAACAAAGAAAAAGAAAGTTGAAGGAAAACAGACTAGATGAAGCGTGGTATTTATTTATGTGTGTGGGTGAGTGAGTGAGTGAGTCCAAGAAGGGGATGCGGGGGTTGATTGGCGGTGGTGGGGGCGGTGATTCGTTATCAACAGCGATCAGTGAGGAACAAGACGAATGTATGTGCATTATCTTGGAGGTGCCTGGTTTCGCATCGGAGCAGTGATATCATCCGTAAGTTTATGGAAAGAAGCTGCCCTTGTGATCATCCAGAAACCTAATAACAGTAAGCAGCGATTATACCGTTATGGTTAATCCTCCGTCATCCTCACCCATCGCTACTAGCCCCATCTCCTCGCCTCTTTGCTTTACCTTAGAAGGTCGAAGAAGGACCCTTTCAACAGCGACAGTGTTTCTGGATCCACGTTCGATTGGCTCATAAGTGTTGGCATATTCACTACATCCTTTGTTAATAGCCGTCGCTCTCCTGCATTCCTTCTATTGTTTTCCATTACCAAACAGACGGAGCAGATGCTCAATCCCGTACACATCACTAGGCGTCTTGTGGGCCGCCTGTACCTCTTCTTCGAACTGCTTCCGCTCGGCATTGTAGAGCAGCGATGTGCCTAATGACTTGTCAAAGTAGAGCTTTACACCATCGATAACAGACTGAAGCGTTTCGTCCTCCCTACAGAATCACGCCAGAGAAACATAAACAAAAGATCGAGTGCTAGAACAAATATGGAGGGCGACTGCAGAAAACAACAAAACAATGCTCTGCTACTGACATGTTACACCGGCCACGGGCATGTTGATAGTACTGTCCTAGTATTTCAGAGACAGATGGTGTGCGTGGGAGAGGTACTAGCTGCCGAATGTCGCAATTGAGCGTCCTGGGCTCTCTTCGTCCTTTCTTTCTCGTTCCCGTTACCCGACTCTCTTGCCCCACCCTTTCTTTTGCTCCTTCTCTTTCTCTCCCTCCCCCCGCCCCCGCCCCCACATAGTCCATACAACTCACACAGCGCCCACTCTTCCTCGTATCTCATCCAGCATGAATAATAACGGCTATATTAAAGGAAACAAGGCCTACTTGTTGGTTTTTTGTCACGTTTTCCCAATCGTCCACTAAATGTCCTTTAAGCAATTCTGGAATCGGTAGCTTGAATTCAGATCGTCGTATTGATTCTTCTTCCTAAAGTATAGTGTTTGTTATTGACTCTTGTTCTACTTTGTAAACAACTATACACACACGCATCCTTTTCTTTTTGATTCCTTTCTTTCTCTCGGCCCCCTTTTCTGTTGGTCTTGGATTCCTTACCGCGCGTGTTTTGTCTGTACTGCTGTCACGATTGCGCGTTCGACCACGTACTTCGGCACTGTCTTGCCGTGAGATCGTAGAGCTTGATCGTGAGGAAGGTTTCCGTCGCGCGTGCATTTCTTTTAATTGTTGTTGTTTCTGAAGATTCGGTTCGGTCCACTTTAGCACGCGATCATCAGACACCCATTCATCCCACCTTTTATATTCCGTAAGCCGTCGTCGTCGTCGTCGTTATTGTTTGTGCGGTTGCGTTATACAGAGAGAGAGAAATACGTTGTGGTGATTGTTGGCGGCACGGGTCAGCACAAATAATAATAAACAGTGGGCAGAGAGTGGAAAGGAAGGAGGGAGAGAAATAGTGCGGGTTGAAAAACCGATAAAAATCAGCACCAGTGCGCGTTTCTGGGCTTCATATGATTTGCTTTCTCTTCCCCTCTTTCTTTCTTCTGCACACTTTTTCTACACAACTCACGTTTGCTTCCATCCTTTGTAGTGCACCCAGTAATACGGTTTTTCTTCTTCTTGTGCATCTTCTTGACGTATCTCTCGTTTAATAATCTTTTTGTTTTATATAAAAAATGCAAGTAGCGGTCCGTGTGAGAGAAGGTTCCACGAAATTTCTAAACCCCTCCAAACCCTCCTCCTTTTTTTCGACCTTTTTCCACCCATTCCATAACCATTCAAACCAACGGATTCGAGACCGATCTCTTGATTACCTTGGCTTCGTAGAGTAGAAGACCGTGATAGCAGAGTACCCGCTCATCCTTGTCAAAATTGAATTCGTCTTTCGCCATGGCGGGTTCAGAAACTGAAGGAATATATACCGTGTGAAGTGAGTTGGAAAAAAGAAAAGGGAAATGGTTCGCCGAAACAAAATCACAACAGTAGTAGAGAGTGGAGATCAATTTACCAAATTAGTGAGCATGAAACCCTGATTGTTGTCACTTGAGGACGTTGTTGAGTAACCCATCTACTTGGCCAGGAAACGCCTTCTCTCTTATTCTGATAGATTCCGAGACTTGACGATCTACACTTTATAGTATGAAGACTATACAGCGAGCCGGTAGCATATATTATGGTGATGGCACCAACAAAACTCTATCTGATGTTCACATTAAGTGCAATAGGTAACTTTTCTTCTCGCTATGTGAATCTCTTATTAAGTCTACCAAACTAGCGCTGTATGTGCATAGTCCCATCATCATCTACTTACTTGAAGCGTACTATGGCTACGCTATAACTACCTAGTTGCAACAGCTGTCAAACAATGGGCCTCGGATCAGTTTCATAATCGAAAGAAAGATATTTGCGATACTGTATAACAAGGCGGATAGAATGTGGAGCGATCTGCAGTGCTCCATATCAATGCTCAAATTATACTTTGTTTGCTGGTTTCTTGTTCGGAGATCTGTCGTTTTGCAAGTAGTTGATTCTACTTTCGAGTATTAAAGTTGATATGCAATGCAGGGATTTACGGATATACCACCATCGGTTGCCATGGCTATCAATAGACAATTTTACGGAAAGTTGTTGTATTGGAATAGGGCGTTTCATGCTTCGACATCGGCTCGTAGCAATAATCGTCATAGACTACAGAATGCAGTGGTTTTCCGCATACTCTTATTTCCTGGTTAAGATATGCTACTATACGATACACGTGAGCTTGATCTCGCTCTAAACATTTCGGTGAAGAACTACACAATATCAACTTGGCATTTCTTAGTTTTCAGTGACGAGGAGTGATATTTTACATAATAAGTCAGATTCGCTCCTAATCTATCGACGCTGATACCATTGCCTCTAGTATTAATATTTCTCGCGACGATAAAGTCTAAATGCAGCTCATTTTTTAGCTACTTTCATTCATCTACCATACGTAATTTTAAAGATGTCCTTGAAAGAGTAGATACTTTAATATTTTGAGAATTCTCCTTCCAAGGATCATGAAAAAGCTGATGATATAGTGATTTCTGCTTAAATACAGGTAGCTCCAGTTACTAATTCGACGAATTACAGCAGCAATTCTTGTACATGCTCGGCAGATGGAACCTCATGAACCACAGTAATTGTTCAAAGCCTCACATATTTTACAGCAGCATCTTGTAATCCATAATGCTCCTATAGCTCTTGCACCATATGTGCTGGTATAATTTACTAGTGTTAATTGATTCTTCTACGATGCGGGTGAATATATACTATACGGCACCATCAACAACGCAAAAAAGAAAATCCAAAAACGCACGGATGTATGCGGATGTATGATGCATGAGCACTGCATATGCAAGCAGTTTGATAAAACCTGAACTGGTCCTACCCCGGTGTACAGCTTTTACCTTTCTTTTTTGTTTCCCCCATCTTTCTGCACTCAATCTTTCCAACACAAACATTTTACTGCTATTTGATACATACTAGCCGTTTCAACAGTAACATTGATAAGTATGCCGACAATTTGAGCAGCCCATTCCCCAGCTGCAATAATAGCTGTGTTTAAGGACGTGACTGAAGAAACAATTCATTAATTTTCTGCTGAAGAAGCCGTGATGCACCTTGATGGTATATAAGCCAAACTTCTTCATTATTTGGTCGATATATTCTTTGTCCTATACGTGTGCTCAACATCGGTACTTTTACAGGTGCTTCGGCCATCTCCATGGCTTTGGTCTCGGCGAAAATGATCGATTGACCTCGTTAGAAAGCAATCTAAAAAGCTCTTACTGTTGCACACAAGTATGTCAAACGTTTACAACTGCAAGTCCGTGTTGATTTGCGTTTGGGCCTAGCAATTGAAAGGTAAACAACCGGCTTTTCTATATTTTTAAAAAAAATACATTTCCCTTCCTTATGTATTTTGAACTATTAGTTTGGCAGCCCTAGTTGAAGAAGACTCCCAATGTCAGTACAATTCCATATTCATAGGTATGTAATATTTAGTCAGCAAGGTAATATCATGTGCCATACTTATCGTGCTATACGGAATTAAGAACGCTACCGAGATCTGTTTATAATACACAAAAGATGCAAACAAGGACGGATCATATGAGTGGACTTATTCCCGGCAGTATCGAGAGTTACACTGATGATGCGCCTGTCGTACCATCATCCTTAAGAGATTTTGAACACTGATATGGCCCGCGCACACAGCGACGTATCATAGCGAGGTACTACAAATTCAATTTTATCAATATAAAAGCGACTTGAACGAAGATAAGGGTTCGTCTTCCCAGCTCTGCTTATAAGCACAAACAAAATAGAAACAAATTAATACATTACGTATCATCCATAATGAAATGGGCTACATAGGTATACAGTATGTTGTTGTTATTTTTCCATCGATTATTTGTAGACAATATTTATATATGCGACTCTTTTTCGTTTTCTCTTCTGTTTTGTATATATCTAACATTAGAAAGTAAAAAAGTATAAATCGTTTTATGATTTTTGTTTACTTCGGAAGTATTGAAAAGACCCTGAATCAATGACTGTACTACGATCTTTTTTATTCTACCGAAATTAAAGACGGTGATGGATTTGCTCTTCATAGAATTAGAATTCTTCCTAATCGTACGTATCATATGTAGAGAAAATGAGCAAATGTGTTCTTGATTCCGATTTTAAAATACTTGTTGATACAGGGTACATAATATACTTTATGGATGAACGAGATGATGCGTTTATATATAGAGAGTGTGTCTGATACTGAGTGCATATGTAGTACTCAACAGTGTCCTAAGAATATGCACATGCTAATTCTGCTTCTGATTCAGTAAAGCATATTATGGACTGTTTACCGTGATTCCACGTGTGGTCGCGTATTCGAAGCAGGTCGTGACAACAGACTGAACGCAAAAGCTAGTGGTTGACGAATAATAACATATTATTACTAGAGCAGACCCTATCAGCATTTTAAGGTCACAGCTGCTTACGCATCGGCCTAATGTGCCCTTTATTATTGGCCAAATATTTATTATGTAGCTTACTGAATACAAATCAACAGGTCGTTGAGTGCCTTCCAATATAGTACGTACACTGCTTCTATATACTGAAAAGAAAGTTTATACCCAACGATCGAGACTATGTTACGTATATCATACTCAATTACATAGTAGGCTAGTAATGCCTTTTAGATGGCAGACGATACTAGGCTAATATATAATCGATGTTGTAAGCAATACGTATGATATCATAAAACCTTCCTGTCTGTTAATATGCATGCGACTACATAGCAGTCAGTGCCACCAGACTCTTTTACATATCTCACCTTCGCATTGCTAATGTTGAGTATAACTTACCCAATATCATTCGGTACACTATAGGAAAGAAAAAACCTTAATATACCTAAACCTAAAAAAACCTGAGAAAACTCGAATATACCTTAATAATATCTGGTTTCTCTGATTCGTTTTATTGGTCGGCTGAAGCGTGAAATGCGTTCAACTGTGTTTATGATTGGGTACATACATCGTGTCTTATTGGTCGTTGTACGTATAGCTGTATCCGTTTGGGAGCATCATTGGATACTTCATCAGCTATTCACATTTCCTCATTGATCCTCTTTCATAATTATGTATGCTAAAAAACTGATTTCGATTGGATGACAATATGTTTATTATTAAATTTTGCTTTCTATATTAAATCTTTGACAAATCATTTTTGCATTGTGTAGTACACAAGCAAATAAGTGTTCAATTCTATTTAGTTGCCAACACGACCGCAACAGCGAACACCACGAGCATTACGAGCACCGACGCGAGCAACACTGGTGCTGTCAGTGAAGTCATTAGCAGATCCATCGCATGAACGGGCGCGTTTGCGTGATGTAGTCTCTCTTTTAATTAGGTTGGTATATCATGGATGCTCATTCTATGCCATGCAATATGGATTTTTGATCTACTGTATACCTTGGCTTAAAGAGAGCAACACACTGGGCAGTTGCGACGCGTCTTCGTCTTCCGACTATTACACTAGGAGCCTTGAACAGTCGTCTGTGTTTGATGTCGACGGCAACGCAACCTCATGGTGTTGACGAACGCTGGTTGAGTACAACCAGTGTGTGTGCTATGAAGTACGTCAAATACATCTGCATTGGTAGAGTATATATACCTTTATTCTGAAAAAACACATGTTTCCTCTTGTGGAGCGCTTGATAATGTCTGATAGCGTTTAAAAACTGTAATATTTTGAAGGTAAGCATTATATACATATATACCGGAAACGCTAATACTCCTAGTATGTACTTACTGATTTTTGGTAGAAGCCGCCCTAGGCAACGCGTTTCTTGTAAGTTATTGCGCGATCCCCCGAAGTTGCAGGATTTTGTTTGTAGCCCAACTGTTCACGCACGCATCCAAGGGTGCAGATATTTAGCATGCGCTCTATAAATCTTGTTGCGCCTTCAAGGTTGTCTCTGGTATCGCTGATCAGCTCGTTCTAAGCAAATCAATATCAGGTTTGCTGAGAATACCATCGACCATTATCCCAGATCGTCCCCATATGTTGTCCCTGATATTGACTTCGTCGCTGCGCGTGATATCCAATTGGTGCTCCCTGACAACGTCGTGGCACAGACTGGTCAGCTCCTCCATTACAAACTTCGTCTGTGAGTCGACTTTGCGTTTGTAAGACCGTGTCAAGAGCATGCCGTCGAACAGCCCAGAAGAAAACGCTCTTGATACGGAGCTGGAAGATTCTACAGATGGACATGAAAGGACAGCACTGTACATCCCCAACTATAAGAGTTACTGATGTGGAAAGATCATCCAACGCCTTACTGTGACATCAACTTCCCTTGCCAAGGAGCCGACCGACCGTGCAAGTGCAAGCATTGAATCGTTATTGTTTTTGATAGCGTTAAGAATTGCTGGGATTTGAGGATTCATGTTAAGTTGTTTCTGTGTGATGTTTTATATTGACGAAAGAGGAGAAGGAATAAGAAAAGGAACGATTTTTTTTTCAAACGGCAAGATGAAGCATACAAGGAGAGGCAAGGTCAAACAAATGAGGAGAAAAGGATCAACTTTGTTTTGATACTGCCCAAAATGGAAACCACCATAGATACCGCAGTTCACCAAGAAGTTCGTTGTCTCGTTTGTGACCTGCAAACGTAGTGACGCTTCGATGTACTTTCAATACTGCACACCAGCTGTTTGAGATATGCTTTACATTAACAACTCCATCGTGCGATACAGCCACGTGCCACTGTCATTAGACTTTTCAGCGTCATATAATTTCACCAAGGCAAATAATCTGGCAGCGTCTACATCATAATGCTGAAAGTACACCATAACTTCACCAATACGTATAAGCCTGGACTGCTGAACGCGATTGTTACCCTGCCAGCTGTTGGTGTTAATGGTCAACCGCAGGCGGCATAAAATTATTCTTCCGTGATAGAGAAGGTGTTGACATATTGATGAGATAAGAAAAAAATGTGGTCAGGTGTGTCGGAAGTTTCATTTGGTACAACAACGGTGGTCCTGGTTGAACTAAATTCAGGTTTATTCAGGTTTTTTAAGGTATATTAAGGTTTTTTTTCCTACAGTGGTAGCTCATTGCTTGACGACAAAAACGTCGTCGGATTCTGCAGAAACGAATGAAGTATGTTGTTAAGCATGAGCTTTAAAGGCGGATTGAGACTAATGATATGGTATGATATCATTTGATAACAGCAAGAAAACAAGTTTCATACTCGTATATGCATACACAAAGGAAACCAGGCTAATACAGGATTAATCATTGTTTTCAGCTCCTCTTGTTTATCATCCAAACAGGGCGTTCCTGTATAATATATAAGACCGAAAATCCCACGCGTCTGATTTATTTCATAACTTTTCTTTTCCTTCGTCAACCACTGTGAAAAGTCGTCAGTCTATACAAGTATGGGTCTCATAGCGTTCGCTGTTGTAACCGTGGTTGGAGCCATTATCATCTCTACTGGTGTTGGTGTGCCACTCGCCGCAGCAATGGGATTTGCTGCCACTGGTCCAGTCGCAGGCTCTCTAGCAGCAGGTGCTCAAGCATTCGTTGGGAACGTGGCCGCAGGATCGATATTTGCCGGATTACAAGCACTTTCCATGGCAGCACCCGTACCATAACGCATACATAGTAGCTCTCCTGGTGCTCACCAAATTATCGTCACATTGGAAGTTTTTAACATTATCATACAATGCAATAAATTCGAAGCACACATTTTATGGCAACAACGGTGGCTGTTTACTAATCTACAAATGAGAAATTGATACGTATGATCGAGCAATAACAAGGTATCCCAACGATGATGAAAGCCGCTTCTTTTAATGTAAAAGAAGGGCGAAATTTGGCGTGTGCTTCAATAGTGAATGGGGTATAGATTGCTTATAGTAAAAGTACATAGTGTGGTTGCAGTGTTTAATTTTGAGGAAAGTAATTTACATTTGACAAAATGGGGTATATGATTCAATTTGCAGGGTTCGCCACTTGGTAATACATGATCATGCCTTCTATACCGGGTCCGCCATTTAGGTAGCCAAATTCAAAAGTGCCAGGCGTATCAGGAATAACCTGAACAGTTCTAAATGTAGCAGGCAATAGCCGAATCTGCGATACTGGAACATCGAACAAGGAAATTTGTGCTTGCTGCCACGAAATCATTTGCAGATCGTTGAAAGAGCCCCAGCCCAGCAAGTGCCATTGTACTTGCTTATCTTGCTTCAAAATAAGGTCGTTCGGCTCAGACATTAGTAGCCCGTTGATAGTTCGCTTGATGTTTGATTGCCGAAATGTTCGCATCGTCGTTTGATTGTATTTGACAAGATCGAGATCCACATAAGGCGCCAATTTTTGAACCGTCTGGGACAAATATGGAGAATGATTCTCGTTGATGGCTAAAAAAAATACGCCTTGTTATTGATTGGGGTTATTGGAGAAGAATACTAGAGTAATATTACCAAACATTGCGGTAACAACTTCATTAGCGATTGTTGCTTCATTAAGTGCACCAGGTCGATATACAACAATAGCGCCAAAAAGGCCTGTGAAACTAGCGAACGCGAGAGTAAGTGTTAGTTGCATGACAAGGTTTAGGCACAGTACAAAACACTTACATGTCATTTTCAGTAACGTGTGAATGATAGCCCCATACAAGTGAATCACCATCTGCGGGACCGGGACCAGACCTAGGTTCCACTTGCCAGGTATACGTAAAATTATCGTTTGGTTTGACGAACGAATTCTCCTTGGCATCCTTGTAAACAGCACCTTCCATTTCAAACTCGTAAAATACTCCCTGTATATAGATAGCAGCAGCAATTCAACGGTTAGCATTGACAGAGCTAGGTTCGACGATCCCCCTGATTTCTTAAATATACTTGCGTGCGGGTGCATAGAAAAATCATGCGATGCTTTGTTCCACAAATGCACTCGCAGAGTATCCCCGACTTCTGCTCGTAGAATAGGTCCCAATAAACCTTGCCATTGAGGCCGTGGCTTTAACGCAGAGTATGTACTGTCCGTATATTCTCGGTACAAAGCCTTGTAGTACTGATTCCCAACCTGAATTGAGCCTGCCATTATGTATGTATCAGAATTAATACCGAGCTTTGTCTAGCGGCTGCGAATGGCTGACGTAGAAAATAGCAATGGCAACTTACTGTCAGCAGTCCAGAAATGAGTGGCAGTATTCTCAGGAATATCAGTGGAGTACTGAGTGTAATCCCAAACGATTTCTTCAACTGCTATGTAGTATTCACGATCGAGACCATTGAGTGGCTGATTGAGTTCGTCATGGAGTAATCGAAAGTCGCCTTCATATGTAACTGGACGAGGAATGTAAGGCTCAGGCTTATCAGGAACATCGTCTTCGGTGGACTGTGAAGCTGCAAGATGAGCTATTAATAAGCATACAGCCAAAAAGCGTATTATCATTTGTTTGTATATGTAAGAGGGAGAAAGGGGAGAAAGAGACACAGTGAGGGAGAAACAAGGCCGAAACCACAAAGGGCTGAGCAGCAACAACTCCGGAAGCCTTTTCTTCTTCTTCCAAACACGCACAGAACATGGTGATGTTTGTCAGCGGCACTAGAGAACGCTACTGGTACTGGTCATGCTCGATCCATTCGAGGGTTGCTTTTGTTCCATAGACAGGTGTCGATTCGTTTAGGCGCTGTAAGAAAACGGAAATTTAAATGTAGCCGAACTCAAAGAAGTATGCCCATCCAAAGGGGTTAGGTGGTTGAGGCGAAGTTGATTTTCGGATTCGAAAACAGCCGTGACTCATTTGATCATCACATCAAATAATAGATGCCAAAACTCAGAAAAGAATAAGATCGCCCTACTTGCTTCTTTCTTTCTTTCTTCCTTCCTTTCTCCTCTACAACCCTTCTTCCACACTTCCTCTTTCATCGTTAAACCGTCATGGCTATGGTGGATCCTGATGTTTCCAAGGTGTCTATCCTTGGCTCAGAGTCCATTATTCTCGGCTTCCACATCACCGAATACATCATTCGGGACGTCCTTACATCTATTCCCGCCTCCAACTATGTACTTATCACTGACACAAACCTTGCCCCGTTGTATCTGTCAAACTACACCGAGTGCTTTAAGCGAGTCAGTCGCGAACTTGCCGAAAAGAAGGGCAGCGTCAAAGAGCCTCGTCTGTTCACGCGTGTCCTCCCTCCCGGTGAACTGACCAAATCGCGCAAGACAAAGGATGAGATTGAGGACTGGCTGCTTTCCAATGCCGTTACGCGCGACACTTGCTTCCTCGCCATGGGTGGCGGTGTCATTGGCGATTTGATCGGTTTCGTGGCAGCTACATTTATGCGCGGTGTGCCATTTGTCCAAATCCCAACAACTTTGCTCGCCATGGTGGACTCGTCTATTGGTGGCAAAACTGCTATCGATACCCCTGCTGGCAAGAATTTGATTGGTGCCTTTTGGCAGCCACAGCGTATCTTTATGGATCTTGTTTTCCTGCAGTCGCTCCCCGAGCGTGAGTTTGCCAACGGTATGGCTGAGGTCGTCAAGGTAATGTAATCTTGAACGAAATACGGTAGACCATAATGTTGTCAGGAGAGAAGGAATGAGCGTGCAATTAACTTGGGAGAGCGAATAACAGACTGCTGCTATTTGGAACGAGTCCGATTTCATCAAGTTGGAAACGGGTGTCGATGCCGTTCGTGAAGCCGTTTTGAACAACAATCCTACAGTGCCACTGCAAGGTAAAAACGAGACGAAACAGAAGGTAGTGCAGCATAAGAGATAATGGGCAATTCAAACTTACAACCTTGTAATATTCATAGGCGCCAAATTGGACACGCGCACGGAAGCACAGTCTTTGCTTTTGGATGTTATTCTGGCATCCGCTCGTGTCAAGGCTGAAGTGGTAACGAATGATGAGCGTGAAGGCGGTTTGCGCGGCTTGCTCAATTTTGGTCACTCAATCGGTCATGGCATTGAAGCCCTGGTATCCCCGTTGATGCTTCATGGTGAATGCGTTTCGATTGGTATCATGAAGGAGGCTGAGCTTTCACGAAACCTGGGCCATCTCAGCCAGGTCGCCGTCGGACGTCTTGCACGCTGCCTGAGCTCGTACGGTCTTCCCATCACGCTCGACGAAAAGAAGGTCAAGGATCGCATCGGCAACATGCACTGCCACGTCGACGATATTATGGAAGTGATGAAGGTGGACAAGAAGAACCAGGGCGACAAGAAGCGCATTGTGCTCCTTTCGGCAATCGGCAACACCCTCGAAAAGCGTGCATCAGTCGTGTCCGATATTGATATTTACAAGATTCTTGCACCTGAGCAGCTTGTCCTGCCTGTAACGGAGTCTGCTACAGGCCCTCGCAAGGAAGTCTCCCTCACCACACCTGGCTCCAAATCCATCTCAAACAGAGCTTTGTTGATTGCTGCTCTCGGTCAGGGCACCGTCCGTCTCACCAATCTCTTGCACTCGGACGATACGCAATACATGTTGGCTGCTCTCCAAAGCTTAAACGCAGCTGATTTCGACTGGGAAGACAACGGCGATACGCTAGTCGTGCATGGCGGTGCTGGTCGTCTTTCTGTCCCTGAAAAAGAAGTTTACATTGGCAATGCAGGCACAGCTTCCCGCTTCTTGACTACAGTCCTCACCATGATCCCTAAGGCCGAAGAAGGAAACGCCAGCGCGGCTATCTTGACAGGCAATGCGCGTATGAAGCAGAGACCTATTGCACCTTTGCTGACTGCACTGACAGCCAGCGGTGCCAATATCAAGTCCACCGAAAAGGAAGGCTTCTTGCCCATTGCTGTAACTCCCACTGGTGGTTTCAAAGGCGGCCGTATCGAGCTGTCAGCATCCATTTCATCGCAATACGTCTCTTCCATTCTTTTGTGCGCTCCCTACGCTGTTGAGCCTGTCGAATTGGTTCTCGTTGGTGATCAGGTGATCTCACAACCTTATATCGACATGACAATTGCCATGATGGAGTCATTTGGCGTGTCGGTCGAGAGACTGCCAAACAACACTTACAAGATCCAGCAAACCTCGTACAAGAACCCCGAGCACTACATTGTGGAGTCGGATGCTAGCTCTGCCACATATCCCCTGGCTATCGCTGCAATCACCGGTACCACTTGCACTGTCACCAGTATTGGATCCAATTCGTTGCAGGGCGATGCAACCTTTGCCATCAACGTCTTGCGCCCCATGGGCTGTGTGGTCAAGCAAACTGAAACTTCCACAACAGTAACTGGTCCACCTATCGGCCAGCTCAAACCATTACCGACTATTGACATGGAAACGATGACCGATGCGTTCTTGACAGCTTCTGTACTGGCAGCAGTGACCTCAAATCCTCAAGGAGAGAACATCACTCGCATCACCGGCATCGCTAATCAGCGTGTCAAGGAATGCAACCGCATTGCTGCTATGGTCCACGAGCTGACCAAGTTCGGTGTCACTGCTTCTGAACTGCCCGACGGTATCCAAATTCATGGAAAGCCAATCAAGGATCTCAAGCCGCCCAAGGAAGGTGTTCACTGCTATGACGATCATCGTATCGCCATGAGTTTCTCGGTTCTTTCTAGCGTAGTACCCAGCGGTACCATCATCCAAGAGAAGAAGTGCGTCGAAAAGACATGGCCCACATGGTGGGACGACCTTGAAGGCAAAATGGGTGTCCGTATCAATGGCGTCGATCTCGGAAAGAAGAAGGGACAGGTTAGCAACGTGCTTGGACGTGCCAGCAACAGCGCCAACAAGAAGATGGATCATCAGAAATCAATCGTCATCATCGGTATGCGTGGTGTCGGCAAGACTACTCTCGGTCAACATGCTGCCGAAACCCTCGGCTTTAACTTTGTGGATGTCGACCAACATTTTGAAAAGGTACAAAACATCACCATCTACGACTTTATCCACACCTGGGGCTGGGAAAAGTTCCGAGTAAAGGAGGCCGAGACGCTACAAGAACTTTTGACGGATCCCAAATACCACCGCAACTACATTATCTCCTGTGGAGGAGGCATTGTCGAGACCGCAGATTCGCGTGCTGTTTTGAAGGATCATTGCCGCAACGGTGGAAAAGTGCTGCATCTTGTACGTGATATGGATCAAGTTTCCAGCTATCTGAGCCGAGACCAAACTCGACCTATGTATGGTGAAGACATGATAGGCGTCTGGAAGCGACGACGATCTTGGTACCGCGAAGCATGCAACTATGAGTTTGTTGCCTATGCAGAATCGTTGGTAGAAGGAGGATGGGTGTCGCCCGGTGACTGGATGGCCATTAAAAAGGACCTGCAACGCTTCCTGTTCTTTGTTACTGGTCGGCAGACAAACCACGTTGATCTAACTCCAGGACGCATCGGTATACCGACAACCTTTGTTGCTTTGACCATGAAGGATCTGGGGGCCCACCAGAGCCGTCTAGCCGAAATTTGCGAAGGCGCAGATGCTGTTGAACTGCGAGTGGATCTTTTGCAGCAGCCTGAAGATCAGCAGAACGACCTCAAGTCATACATCGAATACGTTGGAGAGCAGCTGGCTATTCTGCGGCGTTCAGTGCCATTGCCTGTCGTGTTCACGGTCCGTAGCAAGGGTCAAGCTGGTACTTTCTCTGACAACGACGAAAAGGGCATGTTTGACCTGCTTCGCTGGGGTCAGCGCTGGGGTTGCGAGTACGTAGACGTGGAAATGTGCTGGTCCAACGCTGCCATCGAGGAGTGTATCGCAAACAAGGGTGAAAGCAAAATTCTTGGTTCGTGGCACGACGTGCGCCGCCAGACACCATGGGGCAGCACGGCATTGGAAGCTCGCTACGACACGGCAGACAAATATGCAGATATCATCAAGCTTGTCGGTGTCGCTACTTCGATGCTGGACAATATCGCTCTCGAAGAGTACCGAAGCGACAAGGTCAATGGAAAGCCAATGATTGCAATCAACATGGGTGCCGCTGGCCAGCTGTCGCGTGTTTTAAACGAAGTACTTACACCCACCACTCATCCTGCTCTCCCACACGCTGCTGCTCCTGGCCAGCTCTCTCTCGCCGAAATTAATACCACCCGCCATCTCCTTGGATTGTTGCCTTTAAAGAAGTTCTGGCTCATTGGCACACCAATTCAGCACTCCATGTCACCCACTCTCCATAACACCGGCTTCAATGCCTTGGGTCTTCCTCACAAATACGGCTTGCTTGAGTGCCATATGGTCGAGTACGCAGAGGACGCTTTGCTCAAGGATCCTGAATTCGGTGGTGCTTCAATTACTATTCCTCACAAGGTCAATATCATGAAGTATCTCGATCGCGTGCACGACAGCGCAAAGCTTATTGGTGCCGTCAACACGGTGTTCGTTCGCTACGAAGAAGCAGAGGATGGCACACGACAACGCAGGCTGATCGGTGAGAATACCGATTATCTTGGCATTATGCGGCGTATGCAGCCACTCATGTTGGACCCTACCAAGCCTCCTGAGCAAGGTCTTGTATTGGGCAGCGGCGGAACTGCTCGTGCAGCTATCTATGCGTTGCATAGCATGGGTATCAAGAAAATCTATCTCTGGAACCGCACGACAAGCAAGGCTTACGAGCTGCAAGAGGTGTTCAAATCCCTTTGCGGCGTTAACGTGTTGGAATCTTTGGATGCCGCCAAGATTGCACCAGGTGTGATTGTATCGACGGTACCTGCTGACAGTGGACTCGAGTTGCCAGAACATGTGTATGGCGGTGTCAAAGGCATTATCTGCGACATGGCCTACAAGCCGCGTCGCACCAAGCTTTTGCTTCAAGCTGTGCGAAAGGGTTGGTCATGCGTAGAAGGCATTGAGGTCCTTGTTGAGCAAGGTCTTGCTCAATTTGAAATCTGGACAGGCAAAAGGGCACCTGCTCAGTGCATTGAAGCAGAGGTTCTTCGAAAATATGAATTGTGATTTAATGATTTCTAGCATCAAATAAACAAGAGTATTTTATATTGCAATGTATTCTTTGAACAAATCCATCTATTGTCGCGCCCGATTGCCAGAACCGAAAAACTTTCGTGTCACGCCTTGATATTCAAAGGGTAACATGGCAGGTTGTCGGATAGCAAACGCTTCGACTGGATTGACGTTAGGCGGTAACCAGACTCGGAGCCTTGCGTTATCAAACATTCCTGCCACAGCTATCCAGCCGATACTGGCAAATGCAAGATCGACGGATGCTCGGGAGTTGTGGACACCTCGTACAGAGAGTAGTTGCGGTATGGGTTGTAGTGGGCCCTCTTGGTCCATCATCTTAAGAGTTTTTGTTATATGCGGGATCATTGGGGTGAACAACGTAAAAAGTACAGGATCGCTCGATTCGACAACGTCAATACGAGCGAATGAATCCAAAAGGAGTGATCGGCCTACGAGAGCGTTTTAGTAAACGGGAAAGAAGTACTTTCTATTACGTAAGGGGATCATATCATACCCGCTTCTAATCGAAATGTGACAGGCTTGAGTTCAGCGTGGCGCATAAGCTTCTTTTGTTCTTTGAACGACATCAGATGTATCAGCTGCTGATCGTTCACTGCACCTGGCGTATCAATCAAATAATGTTCACGTTCCAAGAAACGTCGTTTTCCTCCAGCCTGCTGTGGTGTCCCCATATGTAATGCGTGCAATGGTATCCGGAGTGTACCCATCGTCGTACCAGGGACTGCCGAACTTGTGATTTGGTATTGTTGTCGCTTGCTTTTGCTTGCGCGTTGTGACATTATCTGATTCAGCAGTGCCGATTTGCCAACGTTGGTGCAACCAACTAGATAAATATCGTCTGTTGGCAGCCGTTCTTCGTCTATACGGCGCAATAGACCCAAGACGCCCCAGCCCTTTTTAGCGCTTACAAGTGTGACACCACGGATTTGTTGAGTAGGGAATCCATGCTGCTTCAAATGCTGGACGATCCAATCTCGTATCCGTTGTTCGTGGCGTCGTGCTCGTTGTGGAAGCATATCAAATTTGTTGGCAGCAATCATGATCCGAGCGCTTGGATTTTGGCGGATAAGTTCAGGTAGTTGGGATCCAAGGGAGAACGGTAAGTCAATTACGTCCAATACAGCAACGATTAGTGGATTACGCTTTGTCTTTAAGAATTCAAGCGAGCCGTATTGTTGCGTGGCACGAAGAAAAGCAGGCGATGTTTCCGTGGTGATATGATTGTAGTGTTTGAGCGCGTAACAGCGGTGGCATACGTCCAGCTTCTTTTCTTCTTCTTCGTTGATTATTTGTACATCGCTATCTTTACTTGCTATCCCTCCTTCTTCGTCTAGGGCTGCTTCGCCTTCCAACAGAACTCGAAGTTCGGGATCAAGTGCACTGACAGCTGCCTCAAATTCAGCGTCGCTCATGGATTTGCTGCTACGCTTTCGTTTGGTGATCAGATCTTCGCTAATGTTTTTGCGCTCGACATAATACCCGGGTTTGCTCGGATCGTGAGTTTGGAATGGCGCGCCACAACCAGGACAGTCGCCTTGTGGTGGTGTTGCTACTGCTGCCGAAGTTGCTTGACTAGCGTTAGACAAGGATCGAGTTGTCGTCAATGTTGATCGTAGAAGCGGTCCATGATATCCAGTTGTTAAATAGTCGAATGACCGATATGAGAGCGTTGGTGCTACGCAACACAGCGTTTGCCGAGTGGTAGCAGAAGAGGAATAAGCGGTGCGTGCGAAGCGTAACCTTGTCAAAGCTGTTACAGCACGTTTCATATCTGGTATGTTTTAGAAGTGTCAATACAAACCAGTCCCAGCGAATTTTTCAAGCGTGCGCCTTTTTCTGGGAGAGAAACTGCAATTTCTTTTTCATTTGATCGATCAAAATGTCCTTTCGAAGCGTACCCGATCTCGACATTGTTGCGCTCCATGCAGCATCAACAGAGAGTGACGTCCAATTGGAAGAAGATGCTACGGTGGAGACTACCAGATCGCCCAGCTATGCAAACCAACAGGTAATAAGATGAAGTGTTTGGTCAGTGGAAGAAGATTCTCCATGGTGCTCATTGTTTTGCACACGGAACCAGCAGACTCGCCCACTGGACGCTTCTACTAAAACAGATTCCGTGGAAGAGGATAGTATAGACGCTGCTATCGCCAAAGTCCAGCAGGATCCAGCAGCTAGAACCGAAAACAATGATGGATATGAAAGCAGCGACCTGTCTTCGTCTTCTTCAGAAGATGAAGTTGATGGAGTTGAAACCGTGGACGAATCTGATTTGGATGAAGACTATGGAATGGATTCTGGGCCTCTGCGGACGAAAAACGAGCTCGTGGACATAATCATCGATGCGCTCGATTTTGAAATTACAGATGCTACCGAACTATTGCCCGTAGGCACAATCGAAGATATTATCGATAATGTTATTGTCGTTCACAGCAATCCGAATATGAACAACGTCGTTTTGGACATGGGAACATTGTTCGCTTTTTCAGATCGCACTACTATGGGGGAGGTAATATCCTAATGTGCTCTTTTTTTTGCTCGAAATATAACGAGCTTTATTAAAGGAATTAACTAACCCTGAGTGTAACACTGATTAGGTTTTCGAAACATTTGGGCCAGTTTCCAGACCATATTACTCTGTACGATACAATACGGCCGATGAAATCGACAAGGAACGTGCAGTGGTGGGAGCATCGGTCTCATATGTCCCTACTTATGAACGGACGCGTATGTTACCAGTGGACGAGCTACGAAAGCAAAAGTTTACGGATGCGAGCAATGTGTACGATGAAGAAATTGCAGACGAGGTAACAGAAAAAACAACATTATAACAGTGTAAACAAGAAAGAAAAATCAATGCAAGTCTCACCAACCTTTTCTTTGTATTAACCAGGAAGTCGAATATTCAGACGACGAAAAGGAATTCTCACACAAGAAAAGTAAAAAAAACAAAAGGAAGAACAGGTAAAGTAACTGGAGTGATATCTGCATGTTTCTCGCTCAAAGTTCTCCCGAGTTGTTAATACGGAGTTATTCATCGTATAGAGCCAAGTCTCTCAAAGCTGAGCGTCCAAAATGGCCAGCCCATGCTCAAAACTCATACAGCAATGGTGCACGTTTGGATGATTTTGACGCAGCTCTTGCGGCTTATGAAAGTACAGCAATGCCTGGCAGACAGATACAAAGTTATGCAGATATTGCTGAAGAGGCAGCAGCATCTACATCGCAGTATAATCGTCCACCTGAAGTGCCACCACCACAGAATGGCCCAGTCGATTTACCGTGGTATATGAGTCAGCAGACGCATAATGCACAACAGCAAAACCAACAACCGCAACAACAACAATCGGTGCAACAAGCGAATTCTACGTACAAAGCTCCAGGAGATCTAGTCAGCGAACTGCTCAACTCGTACAGTGGCAATATTCCAAACTTATCGGCATCTGGATCCTCATCTAATACGCAGGTGAAGAACAGCTCCGTGCGCTCTTTATTCAGCGCACCACCGCCTACATCCAAAGGAGCTTAGAGTCCATCATATAATTGTACATAGAGCATGTTATACCTTTATCATCGCTACAGCAAGTTCCATACGTTTTTCATCCTATCAATATAAGCAATAATTTTCTTACATAAGAAGATGTATTTTCCACGGGAAAAAAAGGTGCATGTACAAAATGATCGGGTTATTTACATAAAATATACAGTAACAGGTGCTTTATACAAAATCATCCGTATATTCACAAATGTCATCAGTTGTCGCCGCTTCCATAGCAGAAGTTCCGGTTTCCTCCTCTTCTTCGCCATCTTCCTCACCCTCTTCTTCGCCCGCTTGAATCCATTTGTCAGCCTCAAATCTGTCGAGCCAAGTCCTTCGTCGATCACTTTTAGCCTGGAAAGCAGGCCCTGTTGGAACCTGGCTCATAAGGCTCATTCGATAGATTTCTCGTGGCTGTGATACTGCTGACAGATCTGACGTGGCCTCGTCGTTAATGAATGAATCGTGCGTCTTACTACTGCTTTCGTCACCGCCGTCTTCGTTTCCATCATGTCCTGAGCCCATGTGCTCTTCATCTGAGCTTTTCTCGGCTTCTAGATCGAAGAACGGGTTGTTGGCGGCATCAAGTCGCCGTCGCTGTCGACGATGTCCTTGTATTGCTCGTTTCATTACAGGTGACGAGGAAGAGGATAAGCCAGCTTGGGCCGCATCATCATGTATGATATCGCTGTCATCTTCAATAAGATTAATGCGTCGTCGCCTTCTATTGCGGGCTATGACAATAGGTGACAGTGAAGTGTTAGACGTTGGTTCGGGTGCTGCAGAATCGTTTGCACTACTGTAATTAGGTCGACTATCATCATCAACTTTGTTTTCGAGTGCTTCGCAAAACGTCACGTCGGTCATGTCGGCGTCGCCCATTGGAAAGTCATCGGGTATATTTACTGGCTCAGGTGCGTGTTGCACGTCATGATTGCTATTTGATGGTGCTGAGTAGTGTGTAATACTGCTGTCAAGTTTTATGAGCGATTCCATAATGTTGTTTGCTATTGGCACCGAATCTTGACCATCATGATGCTGTTGCTCCGTTTCTTGCTGTGCTTTTAACAGGCTTTCATCCTGGATCGACTGTAGCCCGTTTCCTTGCTGCAACTGCTGTTCCTGACAAAGCGACTGCTGCTCAGGTTTCTGTACTGAATGAGCTGCTTTTTGATGATTTTGTTCCCATTCGTCCAATATGGCAAAGTCGATATCATCATCGAATGAGGGCGTGGAAGCAGCCATAGGAGAAGAAGGTAACGCAAACACCGAGCACACCCAATCTTTTGCTGCATCCAGTTTCAGCTTCCTTGCCCGTTCCAATAATCTTTGCTTGGCATTGTCAGTCGGCATTGGTCTTGCTGTCAGCCACTTTAGCATACTCGCGCTTATCAATGTATCTTCAGCCTCCTCCTTACTGAGTTGCTTGAAAGGAAACGGCTCCAGACTCGTACTGCCCATGATAGGGTCGCTGGTAGCTGGGCTTGCCCCAGTATGAGTCGTCCCTTGAGATTTCTTCAGGTCGAGTGGCAGAATGTCTTCAAACTCGTCCAGCATGTTGTAATCACCAGCAATGTCATACGATCCAGAGCGATCCAAGCGATTCTCCAATAGCAAAAGGCTGGCACATTCTTCCATCCAGGAGTCGCCTTTAATATAGCCATCTTCCAGATTCGGTTCGGCGTCGTCGTCGTTTTTACCTTCGCCATTGTTTGCATCACTGTCTTGTTGCTGGATAGGATCACTTCGATCATGCATGGATGTATCACTTGACATGTGCAGTGATATGTTACGGTTCTCAGCCGAATCTCTATGTCTCATCGATACATCGCTTTGCTGCCGGTTAAATGCTGGTGTTTTGCTTTGCGGCAGAGTGGCCCTGGTTATATGATGCATAACATTCTCTTGAGGTTGGACTATATTTGATTTTGCTTTCGATTTGCTTAGGAATATCACTGCGTCGTCGTCATCGTTGTCGTCGTCAAACTCATTATAATCATCACTTTGGTCTATTTTACGCGTTGCCGTGGTAGCAGTGTTGCTGACGCGAGCAGTGCTCTCGGTATGTTTGATAGTTTCAATAACAATACCATCTGCATTGTTCCGCCGTCGGGGCAGGTACAGTGTATTTCCCACTGTTGGCTGCTGCTGCTCCTGTTGCTGAGGAGCATCACTTCCATATAAAATGCGGGGTTCGATCTTATTGTACAGTTCGACAAATTGCATAGTTCGTCGAGAATGTCCCACGTGATGATAATAGTGTAGTACTTTGTTGCTCGGTAGATATTTCTGCGTGCGTTTTAGTGCATGTTGCTTTGGCCAATAGCGAATGAACGCATCCTCTACTGTGGCCGCGCCTAGCTTCTGCAGAAAAGATGCCTCTGGTCCCTCCAACAATGTGCCTTCTGCATTCACTATTTTCTCGTTCCTATTCCTTGCTTTTGATCGTCCGCTACCTGAGGCAGCTGGAATAAAAGTGCCGATAGTAAATCGTTTTTTGCGCCACACAGGTTGATAATTCTCCGGAATGACGCTTGGATTGGGCTTGAAGTATCGGAGGTGTCCGCCTCGTGCAATGGCTTGCTGAACTTGATTGTAGGATTCCTTTGCATTTCTGTATTTGCGCTCTTCTGTTTCCGTCATTAACATAACGCATCGGCCTTTTCGCTTACGACCGGTGCGACCCATGCGCTGCAGCTACTTTGTAAAAGAAAGTTAGTTGATGCCTGTATTTCACTAAGAGATGCCAAGATACGTACCAATCGAAGAGGAGAGCTTTGCGAGTCATAGCAGATAATCAAATCGACTTCGCCAATATCGAGACCTTCTTCGCCAATACTAGTAGAGATAATGACGTTCAAATCACCTCGTTTAAATCGCGATATAATCTACTGCTAGTGAGTATGTAAAGTTTTTAAGTCCACTTTGTAAAAAATGTAAGGTAACACGTACATCTTGTTGCTCCCTTTGGTTAAGACCTTTTTTTCCATCCTTGGCGCCAGCTTGACCGACAAAATGGGAGCATCGTACCATTGGCTCATGCTCTGATAGACACTTTACGATTTCATCGACTGAGGTACGAAATGACGAAAAAACCATGATGCGAGTGCTGGTACCTGATTCAGCCTGAGTCAGATGTTCGAGTATGATATGTAATAGTCGCTGTAGCTTTGGATGACCCATGAATCCTGGTTGCTGCTGCTGCTGCTTCAAATTGTCGATGATACGCTTTAAATCGAAGGAGTTGAGCAGTTTTGCCTTCTCCTTTGGCAAATTCTTATTGGAGTCAAGTACGTCCCTGTATTCTTGTAACGTTCCCTTTATCGTCGCCAAAAACGGACCCACACCGTGTTGACACAACATCTCAAAGGCGCGGCTTACAGAATGAGCAATACTAAAATCCACGTGCACCAATGATTTCACAGCTTGGTTAAAGTTCCTTGCGTTGGCCGTGAATTGACGTTGGGCCATCAAGAGCTGATAGGGTGTGTTTCGCTCTACATCGGTTGAGTATATTGCCTGAAAGCGACTTAGGCGCTGAAGCACAGGTACAAAGATCTTGTCACGGAAGTTTTTAACAGTATCAGGAACGATGCCTGTTGCGCCAGCAGTGTAATCGAGCTTGACCACCACCGTCTGGATGTTTTTACCGTGCGTGTGCTCCTGGATATCCATCGATTCCTCGGTACGGATTTGTATAGCCGTTATGCGCAAGTTGTCCACTACGGATTGAACATTGGCGATATTGGTGCCGGGTGTGGCTGTCAACGCTAGCACACGGAATTGTGCCTGTCGCTGTGCGATCAACTTGATGACTTCTGTATATGCGTAGTTGCCTTGGGCCTTATGAGCTTCATCGACGACTAGACAGACGACTTTCTCGGCTGGGCAGATGCGGGATTGCAAATCGTTCTGCAGCACTTGCGGCGTCAAGAAATACACTCGTTTGCTCATCCAGAGTTGTCTACGGCGATCCTTGGACGTCTGGCCTGTCAGTTCTACTGTATCCGACTGGTCGATGCCGCAGATCTGAAAGCATGCCTCAATTTGCTGTGTGACGAGTGGACGAGTTGGCGCCATAAACACAATCTTGGACTGTGGAAACCAGCGCCAGTAGTTATACATGACAACAGCGGCAATAAACGTCTTGCCGAGACCGGTTGGCAAAGCAACCAATGTGTTGTTGAAAAGCGCCTTTTTAACGATGTTCCACTGGTATAAGCGTATAGAATAATTGACCGGGTATATCCACGTCGGTAGCGCCTCTGCATCGAATTCGTGCGAGCAAGGTGTGTTGCGTGGAGGTGGTGAAGGCGCTGTAGGTGGCGGTTCGTCTTCCAAACTTGTGGGAGGGACTAGCTCATTGTTAATTTGTCGCGATGTATCCCGTGCCGTTGACGATGAAGCAAAAAAGTTTGACAATTGTCCTTGTCTTTCTTTCCCTTTGTTTGTGCTAGCTTGTTGCTCTGCTGTTTCTGCTGCAAGAATAAAATCTTCGTCGTCAAAATCATCGAAATCGTCATCTATGGCATTGACAGTTTGATGCTTTTTGTCTTCAACTTGTTTTTCAACCTGCTCAACGGCTGCTAGAAGCTCGTCATCGTCGCCAAAGTCAAAGGAGTCGTCCATTAACTGACAGTAACAGGGCCAGAAGAAACGCGAAAATAATAAAAAGGATGAGGAGATGGAAATCGCTCGACGCGTTTCCGCCGCAGCGCGTTACATTTAAACGATAAGTGTCACGGGAGGAGTGGTTTAACTTTATTGGTTGAGGTACAAAGCTGTTCATATTTCACTACAACTTGACATTTCCACGAGTTATACGGCCGTAATCCTCTCTCTCAAAGGGAACGTACGTATTGTTCTGCGCCCAGTAAATATCCTCCTTGACTTTCTCAGGGTCCATGCCTTGGTTCCGCAGTTCGACTTTTTGCTGCTTGAACGTCTGGGTCATACTCAGAGTCGGTACGAGGCGCAAGAATACAGGTATAGCATAGCGTGGCAGTCGCTTGGATAAGTAACTATAAAAACCGGCCATATCCAAGGTAACATTCGGCTTAAGGACGATAGCCACCATACCAGCGCGTCCTTCGTGATTTGGCACCAGCGCACCGTAAACATTTGCCTCAGCAATGCCCGGGTATTCCGAAGCTGTTTGCGCTACCTCAGTCGTGGATACGTTTTCAGAATGCCATCTAAAAGTATCGCCAAGCCTGTCATTAAAGTTCCAGAACCCATCGCGGTCCAAGGTAATCAAATCGCCACTCCGGAAATACATATCTCCCTTCTTGAAAACGTTGCGGAGAACTTTTTTGTCGGTCGCGGTTTTGTTGTCATAATATCCAGTGAACGGTAATTCTGCGTTTGGATCCAGCCTTTGAATCATTTCACCAGCCTCTCCATAGTCGCACTGTTATGGATAATATTAGATTATGTGGTGGACGGTATCATGAGAAGAAAGGATGCAGTTAGTAGCCTTACCACTTGACAGAATCCATTCTTTCCTCGCAAAGGTTCTTCGGTGATAGGATCGATTCGGATTAGCTTGACATCACGTTTAAGAAGGCGGATTAGAAGACCACTATGGCCGATCGCTCCAGCACCGAGATCGCCTCTATTGTAGTTGAAGAAACCTCCTACGCCTGTAGTAGTGGTTTAAGTGACCTGCTCCAAAGTAAAAAGAAAGAATCATAGATAGAGAAAAACGCACACCTTCTGTAGAGCCATAAAACTCCAAAATATCCGGTATATTGAACCGTTTTCGTACTTGCATCCATACGTCACGGCGCATACCATTGCCGAAAGCCAGGCGAACGTTATGCTTGCGCTCCAAGGGATGTGGCTTCTGGTTCAGTAGATAGCGACACAGTTCACCAATGTACTGAACATCGGGCAAATAAGTTAAGATAAGTTTTTTCTTCGAACACATCAGAATAGGAAACCTACGTGAAAGACGGTAATATTGTAATGACAGCAATCGTCCCAAAAGCGACTAGCAGAGAACTTCTTTGCCAAAACCACTGTTCCGCCGCTAACAAGTGTTGATCCGAACGAAACGAGTACTAGTAGGTATCCGAATTAGCACTCTGTTGCTGAGCTCGAGAGTAAAAATCAACAAGCTCAACTTACACCCTGAACTATGGTACATTGGTAGAACGGTATAGGTTATATCGTTGCGCTGCATCTTCGCACCAGCAGCACATGACATCAAAGTTACTATTCACTACACGTAAGTATTTTTCTTTTGCACCCAAATTAGGATAACTTACAGCTCACACGGTAATGAGGACTCACTGCCGCTTTCGGCATGCCAGTTGTGCCACTGATAGAAAGAACTATCTTAGTTAATGTTCGATGATAAAGTGTTAAAAACATTATTCTTACCTGGTGTAAATCAACATAGCAGCGTCTGAAGGCTTGACATTACGGAGGCATGCTTCGTCCGTGTCTTCGCTGCTGAAGGTCTCGAGCAATTCAGGCGTCAACATCGGAAAGTCATCTGTGTTACCTTCGCCATAAGCATACAATGCTACCCCTAGTGCTTTTGCATCTGCCTCTATGGTAGCTACTTGGCTTGCATACTCTGGGTCAAACAAGAATAAATTGGTTTTGGCTATTTTTATGCAGTGCAATAGCGCTGAGTCAGCCAAACTTGTGTTGATGAGCGACGGAATCGCACCGATCTTGCTAATCGCGAAAAACGACACTACAAACGCCGGGTGATTCGGGTACATCATGCATACGACATCTTTGAGAGCCTCGATTAGTTTAAAGTAGCCGAAGACTTGTCTTATACTCTTCTCTCTGATAGTTACCTTTTGGCTTGACGTTTTGTGACAATAACCAATGTGCCTAAAATGATTTCTTAAGAACCCTATACATATGTGCTGTTTCCATGAGAAATTCTCAACTTACCAGGCGATTGGATGCTGCATTATTCACACACACAAAAACCGGGATATCTGTGAGTACACAAGTACACAAGAGGGTAGAGTGGAAACATACAACATTAAGAAACGTACCTCGCTCTAGCTGCCCGAATGTGTACTTCTGATTTTCAGAAATAAGGAATACACGATCGGGCTCTTCTTTGGCCCGCTCCTTGAACCGGTAGTAGATGTGCATCCTGTCCTCTCGCTCCAACTTGCGTACTCTATGATGAAGAGAGGAAGGGAGTCTTAAAGGAATAGTTTTGATGCGTTTAATTGTGCGGGGAAGCTGTATGAAAATGCTCACCTGGTTAATACCTTCAGCAAAGTCCATATAGTATTAATATCTTTTGCTACACGATAGCGGGAGTCAAGGTACATAGTACCAAGCAGCCCAAGGGCGGCAAGAGATGCTGCAAAAAAAACCCGCACTTCAGCAATGATAACAAAGTAATAAGACAGCTACTACCACACCTACCAGGCTCCATGTTAGCAAATTAGGGAGTGAAAGGGAAGTGAAAAAGGGCTGCCGGAAATATGTTATTTGATCATGAATTTATAGTCGATTGTTTAGACTATTTGCACACACGTCGCTCCGACTCTTCTCTCTGCAAGCGCGCTTGACACTTCCAGCTTCTGTTCGGGGGAAGAAATGTCCATACTGTGCCTTTGACTACACTATCTTTTTCATGCATGACGTCCCTCTTGTTTGAAGTATTGGAAGTAGCTCAAAAAACAAGAGGAGTGCATACACTGGCTCTACACACTTGTATCCGCGGCAATTTCTGGGTAAACTTTCGGGAAACAAACCGCGTTAAACTCCATATGGAGATCATATCCACGTTTCCCCTGTTTGCCAGCCTAGTTCAAGGATATCCTTCATAATCACCCAGTGTTATCATTTAGCCTCCATACGACAACCATCTATGCTTGGCTCATTTCGGACGTGCCGGACCGAAGCGCCGGCTGCAGCAGTAAACATTCTAAAGTTCAGGTCATGCATTGATACGTGTGACTCTGCCGAGCGCTTGGTCTTCATGTAATAAGCTTTTTCCAATCAGTTCTCTGATTTGCATTTGGCCGTAATTTCACGATGATGATATGACTTTGTGCTTCCCGATCCAATGGTAGCACAGCTTTCAATTTCCCCTGTAAACACGCTCTGACTTCATTCTAATATATTCTTGCTAAAAGTAACAGGAGCTACAGTATAATGTGCATCCTGCAAGCTGGACTTTTCCAATATCATACTCATACGAACATACTATTTAGGTGTCAAGGCTCGTTTATAGTAGCCAATGGATCGGCCATTAATCCTCAAGCAACTAGTCATTATCTTGATCACGGAAGAGCTACCATTTTCAATTTCATGACGCTGGTTTGTCTAGAGATGCCACAAGGGGGTATGCAAAAGAGCTGCATACTAACGCGGTAAGTGTTTTACAGGTGCTGGCAACCGTTAAACAGATACCTCTACCTCAGCATCATATACGCTGATCAAGCGATTGCTAGTATTCGAATACTTTGAGGAGATCTAAGTTTGTCAGCTTCTAAAAGAGTATACCATCACTTTTTGAAGCACATTGTAAAGCAATTCTTTTTGTGATTTCCAACAAACTGTTTTGCGCACCTTGTCTAGTCAATGCCAACAATAGCTCACCGTTCCAACATACCTGCGTTCGCTGTGCAGAAGCCATCTTTTCCCCGAACATTTCCCCGAACAGGCCTTTCAGTAGATGTTTCAAGCTTCATTGTTTAACTATCTGAGCGAAAAAGCAACGGGTTGAAGGCTTTAAGTACAGAATTGCGCTGATACCGTGACCGGCGTGTTTATAGTCATTTGCGTCACCTGGTCTTCAGCAATGTTCTTGATTTCAAACCTGTTTTTTCTTGGTTTTAAGCGAAGTACAACGCTGGTTCCAAAAAAAGGAGAGGTTGTTCTCCTTTCTTGAGAACTGGTTCCACAATCAGGAGGGCATTTCATGCCATAACCAGTGAAGACGTATGTTATCTATGATGCATTGACAAAAACTGCCAATGATACAAAAATGCTTAAGCGAGGAAAACCAAGCATCTTCTTTCTGTTTACTTTGCGTAGAAAATTATGTGATATGAAAATCGGAAGGCAGCGTAAAATATGTCACTTCGGGGTACGCTAGAGAGTAGCCTGTAAAAAATATTGGCAAAATAATTATCAGATTTTACATAGTCAAATGAGCATAAGTCCAAGCACAGACATATAACTACAGTTTTTTGACGAACAAGATTATATTGTTAAATTGATTTGACAAGTAGTATGGCTTGATAGTCTCACGACATACTGCTTTGTTACAGTACAGAGTGTAGCTAAAGTGGAGAAAGAAGCTCGTTGTTAGGTAAATTGGGGCACTCAACCTACCTGGAAGGTAGTAAGATGTCATAGATACATTTGCATGGGTGTATGTTTTCATTCATTCAGGACAGTATATGCTAGCTGTAGAGTGACGGTAATTAAGCGTAATAGTTTACACGTGCATAGCTGATAGCTTCAAGCGGAAAATTCTATTCATCATCAATAACCAAGAAAATGACTGTATCAAAATTTTGTATCATCGGAGGCAAAAGATAATATAAACTATATCACAATTTGACTTTTCCAGTAGAAACTTTAGCGTAATCTTCAGCAGTAAAAGGAACATAGGTATTCCCCTTCAACCAGTAGATGGGCTGCTGATCATCGGGTACTTTGTCAATGCCTTGATCACGGAAGAGCACCTTTTGCTGTTTGAAAGTACCGGTAATGTTCATCGAAGGTACAAAGCGGATAAACAATGGCACAGCGTACTTTGGCAAGTGCTTTGACAGATACTGATAAAAGTCAGCGAAGTCTAAAGTTGTGTTGGGACGCAAAATCAGAGCCACCATGCCAGCACGTCCAACATGACTAGGTACTTTGACGCCAAAAACGTTTGTCTCTGCAACTGCTGGGTACTTGCCAATAACTTGTGATACTTCTGTCGTCGCTACATTCTCGGAATGCCATCTGAACGTATCTCCAAGTCGGTCCAAGAAGTAATACATTCCCTCGCTGTTCATCTTTAGGAGATCACCAGTACGGAAATAACTAGCATTTACATATATATTCGTTAGAATCACTCATAAGCAAGCGTATCTTCACCTCTTTTCTGTCGTTTTTCCTTACATATCCCCCTTTTTCAAAGCATCTACAAGTATTTTCTTGCTCGTAGCCTTACTGTTCTTGTAGTACCCTATAAAAGCATTCCCCCAAGCACATATATTATTAGTACCTCCGAATAATTTTGTCCTGCAACCGTTCAATTCATAAGATACATCACCATCAAAGCGCGCTCTTCCTCCTTGTCCTTGCATGCCAATTATCATCTCTCCTGGATCATCGTAAGCACATTGGATACAGAAACCATTTTTGTCGCGGATAGGCTCTTCTGAAATTGGATCAATTTTGATAATTTTCACTTCAGAGCGAAGCAACCCACGTAAAAGCGGACCAAAATAGCCAACAGCACCTGCACCGTGATCGTTCACATTCAAGTTAAATAAACCACCAGGGCCTTCAGTGGCTCCGTAAAACTCGCAAATCTTCTGAACATTGAATCTAGTTTGTTTTTTCTTTTAGTTTGAGTTGTTGCTGACGGGATAGAGTTTCGTCTTCTTTCATACCTTTCGCGGAACTGCTTCCAGATCTCTGGTGGCATGCCATTTCCGAAGCAGGTATGCAGTTTGTGGTCGCGCTCGTGAGGATGTGGATCCCTATTCATCAAGTATCGACACAGTTCTCCAATGTACTAAAGAATTTAAATCGATACAATTAGCCCATGTCGGTAGCAGTGGTGCCTTTTTGAGACATACAAAAAAAATTGTAACGTTGTTGTTATAGACGTCATCCCAAAACTTGGTTACGGAGAACTTTCGAGCAACAACAAGCGTGGCGCCTATATTTAACGTAATATGCGTAGCCATATACACTTTTTTCCCCATATTAGTCTAAGTGACTTTTACTCGTTTACATATATACAAGTTGTACTTACATGCTGAGCTATGGTAAAGCGGGAGACAGCAATAAGATACGTCGTCTTTTGTAATACCGGAGAGAACGGTGCTACCAAAGATGACACCATTCAATCGCGCATGCTGCACCACTGCTGCCTGTTAATTTACAGTATTATATAAATATGTAAACAATAGTTGGGTCGTGAATTTTTGACTATAAGTACCTTGGGTAAGCCGGTAGTACCACTGGATATAGTTGGTTATGGTAAGTATTCATATGATTCAACGCATGTAACAAAGCAAAGAGCAGGTTGTGGTACAACGTACCTAGTGTATATCAGCCATGCAGCGTCAGACACACCGACACCCTTAATTAGGGCTTCATCTGTATCGATATCTGGGTAAGGTGCAAGTGCCTCGGGGGTCAATGCTGGACCAAGAGAGGAAGTGGTGCTGCTATCGAACTCAGTTGCTTCACCGTAGGCATAAAGTGAGACACCTGCAGCACGTGCTGCTTCCGCGATTGTGGCCACCTGAGATTCGTACATGGGATCAAATAAAAAGATTCGGGTATCAGCGATAGTCAAGCAATGCAGCAACGGATCCTCTTGCAGGTTTGTGTTGATAAGTGATGGAATAGCACCAATCTTCATTATAGCCCACAAGGCAATATAGAATGTTGGATGGTTTTGCTCCATCATACAAATAATATCTAAGATTATACATAAAATCATAAGTATGAGGAAAAGAGCTCGTTGACGAGAAGATGAGAGTACCTTTAGGCTTGACGTTCTGTGACAAAAGCCAGTGCGCCTATTCGGATCAATGATGTCTCTAATGAGTATTTCGAGTTATAGCTACAATTTATTTGTCAACATACCAGGCGATTAGAGGCTAAAACAGCATTGAAGTACGGTTAGTAATGACGCTTAAAAAGCTCATAGTAGACGCGGAAGTAAATGAACAACTTACAAAGTTCCAACTGTCGGTAAGTGTAAGCACGACCTTCAAAGATTAAAAACACGCGATTTGGCATTGATTTGGCTTTATCTCTAAAGTGGTAGTATAAATGGATTTTATCTTGGCGCTCCACTCTTAAATGACTGGTAAAACATCAATGTCCAATGTGTCAGTACAATTTGTGTGGGATAGCATGGATAGCATGTAAAGCGTACTTAATAATGGCGGTTCCCACTGCACGAAAATGGGTCAAGTCATTTCGAATAGCATATTTTGCATCAAGATACATTCCGCCAAGGACGGCAGCCGCAGCAGATGCTGTGATGCGAATAAGTTAACGAATCAGTACTCATTTAATTAAGTTCTATTCTATGTTGCATATTATATAATGATACAATACCGAGTGCCATATTAAAGATGAAAGCAAAATGGGTTGGGGAAGAGCAGGAGTAAAGCGTTTGAAAAATTGTGGGGTTCATATATGAAATTGGGCAGCGGTGCCGACGATTTCTCCGTATGAAAAAGCTCACACGGGAGCACATCATTACTTTTTGTCTTAGACTCCTATTTCTCACGTAGGCTAAGCATTATAGCCCAATAAAGCAAACGCACAGATGTACTTTAATTATTCATCAGCAACTACATAACGAATAATCGCCGTAGAACGCGATAAATTGAAAATAACAATGTCCATTTGACTCAGCGAGAAGTGCGACAATGGAGGATTCGTTCACTATCCGCGGTTTCAAAGATAGAGTCAATGGGAAAGGGTTACACACATCTAGTTTCATACTTTGTCGCTTAGTTGTTCCAATGATCAATTCTTTGGGGCCTGGGGATAATTCCCCATTCTAGTAATATCCACTGATCGCACCGTTAGTTGAAAATGTCGACCATAGGATTCGGGATGCTACACTTTGTCCGTTTCAAACATGTGCACTTATATTTGTCGGTGTCGATCTTTCGTAATATTGGAAGATCAAATGCTGCGATTTGATTTTGGGTATTACGTTAGAGATGCATGCGCGGTTCTTTTTTACTTGGCTTAAGCTCGTTGGAACCTGTCAAGTGATTCATTGCATGGCGAATGGACCCTTACAAGGCGAAATAGTATCACAATTTTTAGTCGTCCACAATATGTACGCCTTCGCTCCCATGTGTAGGGAATGGTTCTTAAAGGACAATAACAAAGGTAACGAAAGTCATAGTATAATCGCTATTGTTCTTAAAATCTTAAAGATCGCCGCTCTAGAAAACAAAGGAAGAGTGGTTTATTGATGGTCCTGTATATACCTACGCGTCCCTTTTCTTTTACTAAACGGCCATTATGTTAAACCCAGGCCATACGTTACTGCTCGGTCGGCTAAAACACAATAGTCAACAGCAATACCACTATAGTAGTCTGTAATAAGGACTCACTCTCGAAGTTACATATCTGTATCTCATCAGAAAAGAAGTACCTTACCGCCCTCGCATTGCGAATATGAATGCCGGATCGGTAGATACGTAACGCCACTGTAAAGAAGCAGAGCGCGCGAATTAAACAAATGCAAAAACGTCTTTATTTTACTAGAGATGACGCACGACTGCTAGTATTAGTGTCCCGTAAAGAAAGTCTTTCTTCCATGAACATTTATGGCAAAAGTAAATCGATTGCAAGTACCCCTTACCAGTCTAAAACATATGGAGCAACTGTACCTGAAACAGATTGTGTAACCTTGTATAGAACGCGTTGCCATAGCAACGAGCAATCTAAACGTCGCAGTCGCAAATAAGGCTACGGAACCCGTCTATGCTAGGTTTAAGTTCTTCGCTTCTACCACGACAAGTACAAGCCAGAGAAAAATTAAAGGTTTGATGTTAAAGATACATAAGTGCTTTGTAACGTTTCTTTTGATGCGTATATGCACCAACTTATCTTGCAGGTCACAGTGAATCTGATCCCTTTCTTTGGTTCCCAAGAGTATGATCATTGTTGCGATTTTTATTTTTTGGTATGCTGCGCCTCATTTGACTGCGCCTCATTTGACAACATATATAATGGATATGTGATCTGGCAGCACTGCTTTCTTCCACTTTCAACTTTATAAACGAGAACTTAAAGACGAATGCCATTTCTCAAGACGCCTGAAGAAATCACAAGCACATCCACTACGGATCGCATGTCGCAAGATCGTCAACACGAAAATGGTCAACTCAACATTCACACCTTACCCGCTCGCGAAGAAGAGTTTGTAAAAGACGAGTACGAAGACGAAGACGAAGACGACTTTGAGAACGAATGTGGACCTTTGCGCAAGCGTGTCGATTTTCTCGCGCGACTCCCCTACGAGGTTGTCGATATGATCATCAGCGAACTATCTATAAACGAGCTTTTAGTTTGTTTGGATGTCAGTCCAAAGTGGCAAGAACTGTTGGTGGAAAAAAGACAGCATATTTGGCGTGAGGTTACTTTGGACCATGAAAATTACCAGAGTGTCTCACAACTGAATCTTATTGGCAAGCATATACGAAAATACTGTCTTTATTTCGCTTGCCAGGAAATACTGGATGGAACTGTCGACCAAATTCTCTCTGGGTCTATGAATAAGCTGGAATCATTAGGTAAATAATGCTTAATTGGATCATTTTAATAGGAATAAAAAGTACTCACACTTGGGTCATGTAAGCTTGGGATTGCTCCGATTTCAGCGGCCGGGATGTCATAAAGTGCGTAACGCTTCTGCAGGGTTCCTTGACAAACCTAGAACTGGTTACTACTCAGGATACGCGCTATCTATTACCGTTCGATTGTCCAAGCTTGCCATCTATCCTAAACGCATGCCCAACTTTAGAAAGGATTAAAGTCTCACTTCATTCGAGCGAAATTCAAAGTAACCATCTTAAAATACCACGAGGCTCGAAGCTTAAATATCTGCATTGGAACTCTGGAGAAAGCATGACGTTACAAGAAGCAGAAGACATACTTGACGCTTGTCCATCCCTGGTATATCTCAATATCGGCTGTTTGGATGGTCCTGTTCCCCTTTCCGCCTTCCGAACAAAATGTCCAACAAGCTTAAGCTATTTACACGTGGATACCGGCAAATCCAGTAGCTATGGTTGGTCCTGCGGTACCGACTCTAATTTATCCGTGAATGGATTACAATCGTTAAGCACATGCTGCATCAACAATGAAGACTGGGAAGAACTCCAAACAGTGACTCTAATGGATCAAAGCACCTTACAAGATATGACCGTTTGCCACAATGATTCTTTTGACCTCGGCGGTCTATTGAATATCTTCAAGGGACCACAGGTCTCATTGCGATACACGCATATTTATTGGCGACAACGCGCTGTAATTATTGCTACAACGAAGAACATCTCACCCGGAGAAAATGATGAAACGTCGCCAAGTGGGGTCATAACATCTGCTTTTGAAAGATGCCATAAAGACCGACATATTCCATGGTTCATCAACAGCCTCGAATCTAACGCTCATGCCAGGAAGGTGTCAAAGCTAAGCTTCTACAACTGTGGCACAATCGACTGGCACATACCGCAGCTTTTACAACTGCCATCACTACAAGAGCTCTATTTTGACGGCTATGGGAAGGAGATTGGAGCAGTGGCTGGTATTATCGATAAATTATGTAGCCCTTCGTCAACGCCACGACTTAGACATCTTTACTTGGGCCCGGTACAAGGATTAACTGACAAAGTAGTCCCAAGATTTGCGCATATTCGTGGGCTCAAACACCTCACTTTGTCAGGATGCAGCGAGATTACAGATGAAGGCATTTATAGCCTCGCAAACATTGACTCAGATCTGGAGGAGCTTTCTCTACTGAATTGCTTAAACGTCACTCCACAAGCTATAAAATATATCAACCAGCAGTTAGAGCGACGAAAACAACAGATGTATATGTAATGTATAGCTACATTGATTAGACCAAATAGAAAAACAGAAAATAACTTGAAGTGGATAGTAGCTATGGTACTGGTCGTTAATATTTATATCTAAAAATAAAACTACCATGCATCTTATATGATATATGATATTTCGCTCGTAGCCTAAGCTTTATGGTGGTATGGTAGGATACTTGTGCTACTATATAAGTGGTAACTAGCATTATCTTTGAAGCTTAGCTCTTCGTCAAGGTAAAAGTATCTACGACGTTTCCAAGTGAGCCATCAAGGCGTACTTGGTGGTGTGTGAAAGTAAGCGACGAAGGGGTGATTTTAACTGTGGAATAGCCATAACTGTCATAGCGTACAGCAGACCAATCCGCATACGGACCAGTGGTGTTAAATATAACAGTAGCTTCAGGAGGACCAGCATTGCCGTTAATAACCTCAACATATGAAGCTGCGTTGTGGAACGAGCCATTCCCAGCGATGTTGCCTTTTGCGACTGGCAATGTTCGCTCGTAGTTATGGACATGACCACTGTTGAATAAAATCAGGGATAATATTCGCATATCAGTGAGTAGAAAATTCCTCGTACTCACCAGCTTGAACTTACGTAAGATAAAGATCTACATCGTGTTTCAAAAGCACGGGTTCAAGTCCTCCCCAATGTTCTTGAGTTACGCTGTTCACAGGGCCGTCACGGATACGCGCTGCATTTGATGCACAATCTTCAGAGTTGGGAGCACTGCAGTAGACGGGATGATGGGTGATCAAAATGATCCAAGGGCGCTGCTTTCGGTGCTTGTTGGCCTCAGCAAGATCCTCTTCGAGCCAGTTGATAGAGGTCTGGATCATCTCGTCAGTTCCATCAAAGTAAACTTCAGTAGAGAAAGATACAAGATGAAGCGACTTGTAGTTGAAGCTGTACATGAGTGAGTTGTCAAAGTTCGAATCCTCAAAAGGAACGTTCTTGAACCGGTTCTTGTAGTGCGAGTAGTTGTATGCACCTTCGTGGTTCCCAGGTACGCCCAAATAAGGTACTTGGCTCCACACCTCTTGCATCAAGTTCATGTATTGATCTCCCTTTCTACCATCAAAGTCTTTCATGTCGTATGCCTATATAATTACACAGTGTTCGCAACAAGAATATAGATGAAATCTAGTATTGTACTGGGTAATGCTTACCTGATCTCCCGACAAAGTCATGAAATCATACCTGTGGGTTTTAGACAATTCGATGAGTTGGGGCAAAGCGACAGCGTTATTGAGCCCCTGAGCACGCATTGATATGAGTTCAAACGATACTAGTTAGAATATTAAACGTGCAGATCGTCCCTTTATGTACTTACAATATCTGCTATTGCCAAAAAGCTGAACTCTTTCCCCTTAGACGCAGTGTGAAATTCATAAACCGATGACCACTTCCATGTTGAATCACCATAGGCACCCACTTGGTAGCAGTAGACAGTGGCCGGACGAAGTCTTTTTGTTTTGGCTTGATGTAACGAGATAGTGCGATGTGCTTCTCCCTCATCAACAAACTCCCACATCTCACAAAATATAAACAAAGTTATTTTTGGTCAATCCCCTTGTATAGTTTATATATTACCTCAGTACGGATGGCCTCGGCAGATTTATTATGCTTCTTGGGCCAGTACTTGAACATGCTCTGCTCAGCAGGGGACAAGGTAGCGAACTCGACACGAGCGTACTTGGATTCGTCAGCAAGGGAAAGGTGGATTTGTTGGGGCTCGAATGCGCCGTAGGTGCGGTTCCAGTCAACCTCGGGATAGGTGTTATAGCGATCGGGCTCAGGCCACATGCCTGGTCCACCAGGAAACTGTTGGTCTTCCTGGCGTGGAACCATGATTGTATATGCCGAAACCAGCGTAGTCGTGGTGATAGTTGCAAGCAGCAGCAGCAAAGCGGATAGTTTCAACATGGATACTGCAGCAAAAGGATCATGTATCGATAACCTCTTTTTAGATAGTTTTTATAGGGGAGCGGGGCGTAAACAATCGTGAAAGGGGTTATAAAGGAATCGAGCGCATGTGCATGTTTTTGATGAGCATCTTGTTAGATGGTGATTACTTGCATATCCAATATGGAAAAATGTGACTCATTTTGTACATAGCGTAACCCGTCACCCTTCAGCCATTTACATCTTTACAATAAGACATATGCATCGAGCTCCCAATGATATCCACTTTTTTGTCCATTCACACCACACCCCTCGCTCATATTGAAAGGAAGAACATTGATGCAGTAATTTTTGAAACTATTCACACAATAACTTCTATATTTTAATCAAAGGTCCGGTGAAGGATGCTGGGATTGATCGTGCGATAGATGCGTAACTGTCAATGTGCCGGAACCCGCCAGCGCCATACCAGAATAATACCCAGTTGGTATCCTTGAGTCGCAAGTAGCCGTTTGACCGTTCAAAGTACCTGGAGTGTACGTGGGAGGTACACAGAGCATCATTGAAAATTAGCCGTGATTTTGACGGATGGATAAAGTCTAAAACGCCATTTGCTTACCACTTATTGACTCCATTATCTTGACGACTCCGCCATAAAAGTTCTGGATATGCGTCGCACATGCGCTTCCACAAGATATCCGTTAATCCAATACCTTGGCTCGTTGGTGCAATTGCAAATTTATCAAGATAATAATGCCCTCCTTGCTCTTTTGTCATGATGACTGCTCCCTCGTAATCCCCAGCAATGATGGCACCCGCAAGGACTTGACGCAATCGGTCGTAAAATCCATCCTGATCCAGCTTTTTCTGGAAACTTGACTCCATCAACCGTGTCAGTCGCTCTAAATCCAGGTCATCCACATTGTCGTAATTGTGAATTTTAATACCATGTCGCAACACGGTTGTTCGGAGCTTATTCACACGGCGTGTGTCTTTGTTGGGGAGAGAGGATGAATAGAGCGGCTTGTCGGTGACTAGGTTGGCGATGAGAGCTGAAGGGAGTGACGATGTGGGTACAATGACAGCTGATGACGACGTAGGCAGATCGGAGAGACAGGTGCGGATCATATCGAGGTTGCTAACTGCTGTTGGGTATCGTGCCTGCCATTCCACGTTCTGATCAAATGCACTGACGATAGAATCGTACTCTTCTTGGACATTGATTAGACTATGTGCTGTACCCGGCCGTTCGTGGTTGACAATACCACCATCATTATTGATAATGACGATCTTGGCAGGTACCGGACTGTTGTTGCTTTGTCTACGAACCATTTTTTGCGTCAATGCAATTATAACTTGGTTCCCGGTGATTGGCTGCTGCCGGCCAGCTTCGCTTGTCATGACGGGTATGACTACCGGGATTTGTCGATTGTCCAGGGAAGATTGGATGAAATCAAGCTGTGCTTCAATTCCGTGTGTTCCTTGCTCTAATACACCACCGTGGATAAGTCGAGCGCGTCCACCAGCCTTCTCAATGCTTTCAACGAGTGCCATTGTCTCTCGCACCATCGTTTTGCTCAGATCTGCAGGTGTTTCAGTTTCCACAAACCATTGTGCATTATCGGACACCACGATCGATGTTAGACCGAGCTTCTGCAGTTTGACAAGTGTCGATCCAACGGAATCCCACCCCTGCTTTTCAAACGGACCCTCCACTTTGGTCACGGCAAGTTGATGTGCTGAAGGTGCTAGTAGCGCGTCGACGTACTTTTGGGGCGATAGTATGTTGGATGGTATTCGTGCCGCGTTTCCACTGCCAGATAAAAGATGTGATGCTGTGAGTTCGGGCTGGGGTACGTATCGCTTTAAAAAATGCTGCAGTTCTCGTTTGCTCGGCGCTGTGTTCATTAAGTTTACTAAAAGCTCCTACATGTATGCAACGCGCATATATCAATTGTTTTATATCCCTTTTCTCTCTCCTTCCAAATTGCATGATAAAGTGGAGAGCATCAAATACTTACTCGCACATCCTCTTGTTTTCCTTCGTCTACCTTCTGACGTGATTTCGTGATTTACTTTCGGGTGAGAACTAGATCGTCTTGTCATATAAACGTAAACTAAAAACAAGACCTACTCCAACTTGCTGCACCTGTGATTTCTCTCGCAATGCCGACAACCGCCGAGCATGGCATCGGCGAGAAGCAGCATGTGTTAATGGCTTCACGAAATGTCGTAGCATTAAATTCCAAAGAGGAAAGAGAAAAAGACAATAACAAAATCTCGATTCATGGCATTTCTTCCCTCCACAAAGCTCACTGTGAGTCACGTCGGTGAGCGGATTTCCCGACCGAGCAAATTGGATGTTTGTTCGCTAATCCATTTAATCGTTTCTATTTAAGGCAACATCAGGATAGAAACCTGCAATGAACAAGTAGCACATGAGATTGGGGGCCGGGTTACATGATCAATACTATGCCAAAATCTTCAGCTTACTCAAATTATCCCCATAATTTAGCCTTTGATAATTCTTGATCCCTTTTAACGGGTTTGAATCGAGTCTACAGTATTAGCTAAGAGTGCGCATGAAGAAGGTTGATCTTTCAAAAAGCGAATTTTTGCACCTACTAGGGCGTATTACGTAGCCCTAGTCCTTGCTAACAAAAAAAAGCTGCTGCCATGTATTCTGGATACCTCATAAACCACCAGAAGCTAGATGTTACACCGGCGATACAATGGTTTCACATGGGGATTGACATCTGGGTGGCTGGCATTGTATTGGAACCTCTACAGCAAAATTGTAAAGTACAGTATGTACATGCACGCGATGCTATATACACCGTGCGTTCTCCTTTTTTTTTCTATGAAAAGTTCAGTAAGCATGTCAAAACTGACAGTAACTTAGTGTTGTATGAGGTTATTACTGTGGGTACTACATGTTTTCTAGGTGTCAAATTCGTTCTAAGATAGGACAGGATTTGGCATACACTAAGAATATATTTGTGCTACATAGGCGTCCCTATGTAGCTATTATATCAAATGACGTACGATTTTCGCTTTCTGGGCCGATGACAAGTTGACGCGAGCACGCAATAATGACACAGTCTACATTTTTCACCTTTTAATCAAGATCTGCTACTGCATACATGAAATCGAATACGGCACGACTACGTGACCGGAAACATTTGATGGTTGTAGAGGTAGACGAGCATTATCAGTTACCATAGTGCTGCTGTAAGGATTGTGATAAACCGTAGTGTATGATCCATGTAAGAGCAACAGTTCTTACCGACCGAATCCATTTCTACTTTAACTGCCTTTCATAAGATGTGACCTTTTGATTAGACAGTAGAACAAGAGCAGCATAGTTATAAGACGGTTTGGAGCGTGCACTAATCTCGCTGACAGTCAATCTTCCATTTACTAAGTGCAGCTGATCATGCTATATTCTGGTGCATAATGCCCAGCCCAAACCCACACACACAGAGATTTCTGGCTGTTAGGATGAGTGTGAGTCTAGCCTTTTCGGGACAAGATGTACCCTACTCGATATGGATTTCCTTCACTAGGGTTTCTCCATTTGTCAAGAGGGACTAACGGATTTGCTCAGATAATACTCTACTTCCCTTTACTACTATGCGCACGTACATTGCTGATAAACACTTAACATCTACATCCTTTACTATAACTCAACATCGTCTGTACCTTCCACTGACTACTTCTACTACTTAAGGTGCTGATGTCCTGTAGTGCAGAATCATGTGGTTTTCTCGAAGTCATGCTGTTGATGATGGCTTGAATACACACACCTTGCTTTTTGGAAGTAAGCAGCAAGCTCCTATACCACTGTAGTAAATGGATAAAAGCGGTGTTTGCTCTTTTCTCTAATATAATGTAGTACGATGACACTAGCAACACCACCAGGTACATTAAATGGATGAAAATTATTATGATTATTAAATAGAAAATGAGCTTATTGCAGTCAGCGCCCTGGATTTACGGCATATAATTAGCATACTGTAGTGGTGGATTACAAGGACTCGAAGCACTTTGTCGAGCCTTGCTTGAAGTACGCTTCGGTTCGGTAGCTTATATATTACGATGTCAGAAGGAAACCTCTAGGCATGTTAGAAGTAAACGCAAAAGGAATCATACACCTTATTGTAACGCAAGAGAGCAAAAATTGAGCATGACGCCAACTTGAGAATCACCCACTGTTGCACTGCAACCCGAGCTGTGCGCACACTCATAAACATAAACACACGAACCCAACAGCAGCAACAGCGTACACATAGTATACTCTCCTCTGCTCCTCGTCTTCAAACGATTCAAGTTTGTTTCTCTTTTCTGCCTTACTTATAGCTATGTCCTTTTGAATGAATTGTCTTAATTCTGTTTGCGCATTTCAGTTTCTCGAAGAAGTTCCTTGATTCCCAATACCATCAGAATGGATGTACGTTCTTTTTTTCAACTTCCTGTATGATATTATAAACTCTATTTTATCTGTTAATAAGCTAACTTCGGCCTTTGCAACTTCGGCCTGCCTGCCGGCGGGCGCGGCGAAAATAAAACGACGTTTAGGATAAAATCGCAACACTAGAAGGGAAAATCACAGAATCCAAGCAAGGTCTAGCCGGAGCACTGTATGCAAGATCCATGGTCAAAGATCGGAATGCGGTTGCGCACGCTGAAATACAGATCACCGAGTATGAAAGAAGTCTGGCTTATTTCACTCAGGAACTGGCCAAGCTACAAGCCCGAAAAGCGTCGGCCGAAGAATCATTAGAACCTGCGTTAGCTGCATTGGAAATCGGGTCTACACGGGCCAACTCTGTAAAAAAACAGTACACCAACCTTGGTACGTTGTGTATTAATATGCCGTTCGTCTGAATATCCTTTATTAAACGTCGGTATTAACCGTCCTACTGTTTTTTCCTTTTGTTCAGAGCTATCAACAAGCGATACACCATATAACAAGCCCAAAGTGTCACTCAAACTACACGAAATCGATTACAAAGCGGATCTCGAACGCAAGTTACTTTCTGGAATCAAAAACTTGGTGGAAGCTATCGGCCCCAGTAAAGGTGGTCGACGACGGCAAAGTGAAGTGAATGCACAGATGGAGCAAAGCTTACAAAAGCTGGATCTATTGAATCGGGCGCTTCGAAAGTACAAAGGCCTATATCTCGATGACACTCAAGACGATGGTTTGTAGACTAGTGATGATATAAACAGTATCTAAAAAGACTCCTTTTTCCAACATCATCTTGCGTATTTCTCTAATCGAAACCAAAAAGGATTTGAGAGTACATTATCGACGGAACTACCATCTGGCATACGACAACCCGTGACAGGCACACTTCATCTCCAGATCATGCAAGCAAGGAATCTAGAACATGTACCAACACGATCAATGCGTGCGCCTGTAACCGTCGCCACTGCCAAAATGGATGGAAATATTGTTTACCGCTCACACCCCACGCGAACAGACAAGTGGTTCGAGAATTGCGAGATCCACGTCAACAAAGGATCCGAGCTTGAAATTGAAATTTACGACGAGAGCTCTGATAAGCGACGACTTATTGGCATTATCTGGCTGAAAATAGCAGACATTGCCGAAGCCTTACGTAAACAAAAAGTCAGAGATGGACAGGACGATATAGGATGGGTTTCTGCAAGGATCGCTCAGGAACAAGGGAATATCCTATCTGCAGACTCGAATGTCTCGGCTCAAACTGGATATTCAACACCATCGCCCCCACCTCCACCGCCTAATAGTGCGTCAACCAGTAGGACGAATGGTGATATTCATCATCGATCCTCTCTACGCAAAGGTGGAGATGAAGCAGGGATAATGGAATGGTTTGATGTGGAGCCATATGGTGAACTTGCTTTACGGCTAAATTTTGGTAATTCCAGACATTACACTACTATTGGGCATATTATTAGTTTTCGTGTACGATAGGTTCTTATGTTGTCTTCATCCTTGTAGTGCGAGAAACTCTTAGTAAAAAACCCAAGATAACTCGTAACAAACTGACCCGTGTGGGTGCTGTTCGTCAGAGGCCAGACGGAGAACGACACGAAGTCAACGGCCATTATTTCGTGGAACAACGCTTTTATAATGTCATGAAATGCGCACTTTGTGGCGACTTTTTGGTGAAAAGCGGGTTTCGTTGTGATGGTAAGAACCATCTTTACTTTCTTTTTTTAAATTCGCTCTATACTTACTTGAAGCACTAGACACTTTTTAAAGTAATCTAATCATATTTACAAACTAGATTGTGCATACACTTGCCATAGAAAATGCTATGGAAGAGTTGTTACTAAATGTATAACGAGATCACAAACAGATAGTGTTAGTATCAGTGTATGCTTGTAGCAACAATAACACGGTTATCATCCATTAACAGCTCCGTCATAACCAATGCTGCCCTTTAGGACAAAGAAGAAGACCGCCTCAATCATCGTATACCCCATCGTTTTGTTCAAATCACGAATATCGGGGCCAATTGGTGTTGTCACTGTGGACATGTGTTGTCGCTTGGCTCCCGCAAGGCACGAAAATGCTCTGGTAATTATTACTGCGTATAGCATCTAGTCAACCTCTCAATTCAGTCTTTTGAAAAAGTATACTGACCTCAAGAACATCATTGATAAAAAAAACAGAATGTGGCATTACAAGCCATACAACCTGTGCTCGGTTAGTACCCGACTTTTGCGGGTTGTCAATGGAAATTGCAAACCAAATGTTGGCTGAGATCAGAGCCGCGCAAGACCGACCAACCCCACCGCCGCATCGACAGTCAATGCCGGTACTGGCAGCCACAACAAGCGGCAGTACGCAAACGCCCGCACTGATTTCTCGAACAAATACTATAGGGGATGTGGAATCCATTGATTCGCTCTCAGTGCAGGCTTCCGATGCTGCATCCGTTCGCCGATATTCCTTAACAAGTGTCGGTGACAGCAACAGTAACGAGGATCCGTACTCCAACGTATATACAAGTGGTAATACCGATGCCATGATACCCAGGCTGCGTATACCACCCAGAGGAAACCGTGTTACTTGTGAAGAGCAAGAACAGGACGATAATAGTACTGTTGTTGCATCTCGTGAAGATCCATATCTACGTATCTACCAGCAGCTCGATATCCAACTTCAGGGTCATTATAGCGAAACACCTGTCAGCCACCATAATCTGAACACTCCGGTATGAACAGGAATAGATCGACCGCACATAACGATTAGTGATACGATATACAATGCCGCTTACAAATTGTGTAATAGATTGATGACCTAAACGACCAACGTCGTCAAGAAGTATCCCTTCAAGATTTCTCTTTCCAAACAGTGATCGGCAGAGGAACATTCGGCAAGGTACAATATAACTTTTCTAACCTTCATACTACCTAACTAACAATTTTTCGTGTAAAAATAAAAAAAGGTGATTCTAGCAAGAAATAACCATGATAGAAAGCCATATGCTATCAAAATACTTAAGAAGAGGTCAATGCTCGATGATGATAGCATTGAGAGGTGAGAAAAGTTCCTATGCATCGGCTGCTTCAACAATCTGTTAGCGAGCTACCGTGACTGACGACACATGACTTGTTATAGTACCCGTCTGGAAAAGCGCGTGTTTCAAGCTGTCAATCGCAACTCACACCCATTCTTGACTAAACTCCACTCAAGCTTCCAAACCGATAGCCACCTTTTCTTTGTCATGGAATACATAAGCGGCGGTGATTTGATGAGCCATATTCAACGCGAGACATTTTCCGAAAGACGGGCAAAGTAAGCATTGCTCTTTTTAATCCAACAGCGATACCTCTTGTTGTTTTCTATAGATTTTACTAACCAGACTCGCTTTTGTTTTTTAATTGTGCTTAAAAACGATTCCACTCATTCTAGGTTTTATGCAAGTGAAGTTCTACTTGGACTTGAACATTTCCATAACCTTGGTATTATTTACCGTGATCTAAAGCTCGAAAACATTATGCTGGGTCCCGATGGTCATATCAAGATCGGTGACTATGGTATGTGCAAAGACGACATGTGGTATGGTTCCAAGACGAATACCATGTGTGGAACGCCCGGATTTATGGCACCAGAGATTTTGTTGCATCAAGGTTATGGTCGTGCTGTCGACTGGTGGGCATTCGGCGTACTTATCTATCAGATGGTGTTTGCTAGGGTATGCTTTTACACACCATATTGTGTGCACCACAACCACTCTTGAAAACCTCCTACTTTTTCTCTCTATCTATTTATAAAATCTAACCTCTAAATTACATTAGCCGCCTTTTCCTGCAGAACACGACGATGAAATATATGATGCGACTTTGAACGACGAAATTTTATATCCCATGAAGGCCTCAACGGTGTCTATTTCCATTTGTGAGCAACTACTGAACCGGGATCCGACGAGGCGGCTCGGATCTGGAGAGGGAGATGCAGCTGAAGTAAAAGCACATCCCTTCTTCAATGGTATCGACTGGAAAGCCTTATTAGCCAAGCGTGTATGTCCTCCTTTCTTGCCGACAATTGTTGGAGCTTTGGATACCTCCAACTTTGACGAAGAATTTACTCAGGAGACACCAGACATAACACCAACAAACTCAATACTATCTCCTGCAGAGCAGCAAGAGTTTAAAGGGTTTGACTACACTGCAGAATGGGCTGCTAATAGTACCGATGTGATTAGCAGCATCAGAGTCTAAATACATACTACCATTATTACATTACATATTTTCTAACATGACAAATAACTACTACTGTATACTACTATGTTGACGACGATAACGTACATTACCAATGGCCTTCAGCTTCTCTTTTTTGCCCTATACTGTAAACATATATGTACCTAGTATAGTATCCTTTTTTCGTCAAACCCGACGACGTATTATAAGAATCTGCTATGCACATGTCTTAGAATACTGTTAAGGTATGCCATCGAAATGTCATGCTCCTAATATGCTTTACAAATTGTAAATAAACAAACAACAAGGGTCTTATAGTAGAACCCTTTCTAAGTATGAAATTCAAAAGAAGAGGATAGATAGGTGAAACTAACACTCTGCAGAAGCGTTCGAATGAATTATTACAAGATGCTGAGAGCTTATCACTGCTACTAGAAATTTGCTTATGACTGCACAGTATATAGTTCTAGTGCATGGTAACGGTGGACTGCTCATTAAATGGGTAATTTGAGCTGTAGCAGTCCGCACCCGACACACTTTCTTTTTCAAATGTGCGTACATAATGTCATGCACAGGAAGTTGTCATGCATTGTGCTCGAAATCATGTCAAGCTAATATATGATAAACAAAAAAACAGACTAATGCATGCTTGAAACTGGTCTATAGGACAAAAAAACGTTATAACTCATCGGAACAGAGTGTCGTAAGATGTATCAAAAAACTTTCTTTTCTTATCACAAGTAGGTTGTTGTTTATACATATAATAGTAGTGGTAAGCACTAGACATATAATACTGGGCTATACAAAGGTGGGTGGGGGGAAGTGTATATAATAAAAACGAGGACTGCTACAAAGTGAGTTATTTTCACCTTCCAACTTGTTGCTGTTGAGGCGTGGTGGTCGGAAGAACAACGGCGGACCGTGTTGCCAAGGAGGATATATTGCCAACTTCGCCAGGACGCGACGTGGTACTATTAGCATTTTTTCTTAGTTTCATTAAGCTGGCGTAAGTGCGGACGAACTCCTTGGATGATGTCAAATCGGCGTTATAGAGTGCCTTCATCATACTAGTGTCTTGCATTAATAAGGTAAATTCTTGTGGCACCTAAGAAGATCAACATGGTACAGTGTCAGAATCTCTTGGCCTCCTTTTTCGAGTGAAGCCAGCAGCAATAGAGAGGAGTGCCTTTCGGCCCTTACCATGGTAAAATCGGGCTGGTATTTGATCAACATTTGAACAACTTCGATCTCATCTCTGGTATTATGCTGAGGTTGCTGCTGCTGTTGCTGCTGCTGGACAGGAGAAGCGTATAGGACACTCGGACTGAATATTCGGGCAATGTTGTGGATATCCATTTTGTTATGTTCGTGCAACGATGCCACATGGTTCAAAAACAAGAACAGAAGCTGCATGACATCCCGATTTGGTTTAGGAAGCATACAACAAGCAAAATACAAGACCGTCTTTGCCTCTGCTTCTGTGGGCATTTCTATGTAGATGGAGATCGAGAAGGCGTCGATTAGCTGCTTTTGCCATTTTCGATACGATGTTAGATCAAAGACATTCTTACGCAAGGAAGTGAGGAATAGCTTGTGCAGTTTGAATGTCAAAAGTGGCTCCGGGAGATCACGGACAAAGCGCTTCAATAATGCGGCAAGTTGGATTGCAGAAGAGTCGTGATACAGTAGCTGCGTGTAATCGTGTCCCTTGTCGACCATGTCGCAGGTTTCCTTTAGCTCTCGAATGTTGCCGTTCTTTCGAAAGATGCCTTCGATGGTGAGATCTAGAAAGTCACCCGTAAAAGTGTCACGTCAGTAGCGCACAAAGATAACGAAGAGATAGAGATGGAGCGTGTGTGTGTGTGTGTGTATATATGTGTTGTTTGTTCTGGGTGCGTGAGAACACCACTATTGGGATACTATCGTTACCTTGATGTAAAAGAGCCAAAATAATGTTCTGCACAACTGAAGGTACCATGGCATTCTCCGAAAAGCATGCGGCCATGGTCGGGTGATGGGTCATTACATAGCTGATGGCTGCAGCACGTGTCCGATGGTCGTAGTGATGCGGGTGTGGTACTTTCTCTCGCGACAAAACAGCCATCAGTGGTGCGCCAAACACTTTGCCATTGCTGGTGTCTATTGACGACGAGGGCGACGGCTGTCTGGAGCTGCTGTTGCGAAAGTGCATCTTGACCTTGCCCCAAAGCGACTCCTTTTTGCACTCTAGTAGTGAAAGCAACTCCTCGAATTCAAAGTAGAGGCTGACATGGCGTTCGATATATAGCGCTGCGAGACTCCTTATAATCGAGTCCTGGATCGTCGTCAGTTCTGCAAGCCAGTACGGGCCACCAGGCTCAGTCGCAGGCGCAGTTGGTAGTGGTGTTGTCGGTGAATTGCTATATTCCTTGTCGTTGTTGTTAGCAGCATTATTGCCATTGCCAAAGATGGTTTGTAACCGTGGCGACTGCTGTTGCTGTGGCCGACCTGTGCTCAGCGCTCGTCTTAGTGTTGTGCCTAGCTTCTTGCCTGACAGTGATGAGACTGTAGAGAACATCTTGTTATTATCAAGGGTTGTGGCAGCGGTGGTGGTGGTGGTGGTCGTGTGGTGGTCGTCGCGGTGGTGGTATGAAGACGGTGAGAGTTGTTGTTGGTTGGAGATGGTTGCGACGCGTCGTGGCAAGGAACTGGCAATATCAAAGTCGGCCTGCGCAGATTTGGAGCGCTTTACAGCATTGTTGTTGCGCACAAATAACGGACCCAGGGCAGCAGTGGCAGCAGCAGCAGCAGCAGTGGCGACTGGTTCTTGATGTTGGAATCGAGCAACAGCTGGGGAAGAGTCGAGAGTCATTCGTCGAGCAGGAGAAGGAGAAGAAGATGGAGGCTGTTTGCCGATCATGGGTGGATGCTGATACTCTTTATTTACATGCTGCTCCTGTTGCTGTTGCTGCTGCTGCTTCTGTTGGAGCTGGTGGTGGTGCTGGTGTAGCTGCAGCTTCTGACTGCTACTGTTGTTGTTGTTGGCGGGCAAGCCTTTTTTGCCTAAGTGCTTTTGTGATCAGCAGCAGAATGGAATGAGGGAGAGGGTTTGTGCCCTGTTTTTGTGTGACATTACTTACCGATGGGACGCTGGTGGACTCGTGCCACTGCGACGCGCAAGAGGTGCATACATTGTTCGAGCTGGGTTACGCGGGAAAGCGGTGCTTGCTGCATCGTGTAGTTCCGTCGCTTTCGTGGATCGATGGTGCAGCGGTCGCAGAGCAAAATCAAGTTCGATTCTGCATGCTGTTGCTTTGTGTCCGCCGTTATTATTGACGACTGTTGTTGTTGTTGTTGTTGACGCTGATGCTGGTGCTGATGGACTCCTATCCGTGCGTTAAATGGCGGGTCTATGGATTGCTTGCAACTACTGCAGATCAGACACTGTGTGTGCCATCGAGCATGTTGAAACTGCCAGCACGCGTCCTCAATGACCATTTGACATTGGTGACACTGATCTTGCTGGGCAATGATACGGTTCGGTTCATCGCCGTTCATGCTGCTGTTATTTTTTATGTTGCCAGTCGCAGCAATAGGAAAGGGTGCATCTTTGAGATAATACCGCCCCGAAATGCTCGTCCTGCTTTTCTTGAGTGTCACGAATTCCTCAAGAAACGTGAGTATAGCATCTTTGACGCCATATTCGTGCTCCTAGTACAGAGAGAGAGAGAGAGAGAGAGAAAGGACAGTCTGGTTTTAATGTGAGGTGGACTCTCAAATCTTATCAATATGATATCATATGCACATGGTGAGAAACCAGAAAACACAGATCCAGCGTCATACCATTTTAAGCGTCTCAATGATTCCGACACGCAGACACTCCTTTAGGTTAGACGCGAGTAGAGTGACAAAGCGCACAACGTCTTTAGTAAAGTCCTCTCGCTGGTGGTAGCCGTTGTTGCTGGGGCGATGGCCGCTCTTGGCATCGACCAAATCAAAGAGCTGAAGCACCTGCGCACCGATGATCCGAGACCATTTGTCACACTCGTAGACTGATGCGTTTTTGTTTTTTTGATTAGCATTTTATCTATTTGCGTATAAAGCAATATTTGTTGTTGTAATTGCTTGTACCTTGCTCCTGGTGCTTCTGATGGGGATGATGGAGTTGGCTGTGATGAGAAGGAGGCAGAGGAGGAGGGGGCTTGTGCTCTTCATACAAGGCATGGATCTTCTGATGGGCCGAAAACAAGACCCGAAGGTGCCAAGCGAGCTGATTGGCCATTTGGATGCTCTCACGATAGGCACCTGCTGTGATGTCGACTGCCATGTCCGAGATAGATGCAGCAAGAGCGTCCTCGAAGCCTTTGAGCTCGCTGTAGACGAACCTGCGCTTGTGCTCGATGGTGGCCTGTGATTTCATCAACTCGTCTGGGCTCATCATCAGGAAGATGCCTGCATAACACATCAAGATTTCGGTTACACACCGTGAGGCGCAGAATTGTTTCTACTTCCACACAAAAAACCCCCCTAACTCACTCACCATGGTGATCTTTTCTTTCATCAGCTAGTTTGACGTTCCAATACTATCAATCACTATCAGTCGTCTGTCTACATGTTATTAGTAATACCTCGTGCATCCGCACGCAGCGGAAGAACGAGTCGTATAAAGAGCTCAACGCACCTTTTGTATCATGAAGCATTCGTGGTGCCACCATCGCTCTGGATTGTCTCGGTCATGCACGGGTTGGCATAGCACGGCTTGTCCGCAGCCTACACAGGCCGTGCCGCGTAGCAGCGAGAAATGGTATCGACAGTACGACCGTGCTCCATACACGAACTTTTCTTTGCTGTCGTCGACATAGTAGTCGCTGCTGCTAGTGCTGTTGCGACTGCTGCGCATGATTCTACTGCTTCGTTTCAGCTGGTGCTGTTGCTGTGCCTGTATCGCCAAGAAACAGCCGGGACAGCGTATGCACTGCTGGTGGTACTTGTGTCCGTCGATCATCTCAAGTGGCGCATCCTCTTGTAGTGGCTCGCCGCACTGGCGACAGATATTGTTGAGCCGGGTATAGTAGTGTCGCTCGCATACGATCGACCGTGGAATAGTGTCATGATCCAGCGCGTAGTATTTGTCTGTCACCGGCATTTGACAGTCCTAGAGACGATTGAAGGAGTCGAGTCAGTTTATTGTCGTCATCATCGCCATCCTAGCATAATATCCCTTTTGCCCTTCCCCAACTCTTTTTCTCCTTGTATTCATTGTTACTTTTTTATGTCGTGCTTTGATCGGGTTGATTTCCCCTTGCTCATCTCTCTCTCTCTCTCTCTCTCTCTCTCTCTCTCTCTCTCTCTCACATTCACACTCTCTCGTATACATATATGTATATATAAGTATTTTATACACCCTCCTCGCTGTCCACCGCCCCTTTTATCAATGCGTGCATGCGCGAGCGAGTAGGTTTGTAAAAGAGAAAGAAGCAGGGACCACCCTATCAAAGTGTAAAAAAAAGAAAAAGAACTTGCCTCGCACACAAAACATTGATAATGGTATATTCGACCGAGTGCCTGAATAGGTGAGCGATCGCTTCGTACACAAGGCTGGTTACAGTTGAAGCAGCAATGCTGCGGTGCAGTGTCAGTGACAGCACCCGTACTTGCAGTGCGACGGGAATGTGAACGGGGCTGATTGAGGAACGTGTGTTGATACATTGTGGTCACTTCGCGATCAAGTGCGTGTTTGTCGTCACTTTTTGGCATATTGCCCTGTCTTATGCCGACTCAAACCGACTCAAAGCGAGCGAGTGTGTTAAAAAATTCAAGAGAAAATAAGGTTTATTATTAATATTGCGTGCTGCTGCTGCTGCTGCTGTTGTTGTTGTCGTTGTTGTTGTTGTCGTCGTCGTCGTCGTCGTAGCAGCTGTTGTCGTTGTGACAGGATAGTGGAGGTACGAGAGAGTGTGTGTGTTTGTGAGAGAGAGAGCGAGAGAGAGAGAGAGAGAGAGGAAAAGAGAAAAAAGGAAAAGGAAAAGAGAGAGAGAGAGAGAGAGAGAGAGAGAAAAGGGGAGTGAGGTATATGGCACAGGTAAACTTTTGGCTTGTTTGTGTATGGCTGGTGCTACTAGTGGAAAGGGCTCCTCTTTTCATTCCTTCAGCTCCCCATTTTCTGTGTTCCCAAAAGAATACAAGGTCATGGTATTTTTAGCCTCTGCTTGCTGTGTTCCTCCAGCGATCACCATAAGCAGCTGCTTGCGCATGCCATTGGTGGGTCTACACGCAAAGAATGTCATGTGAGATACTAGAGAGCAATAACAACAATAACCACCGTTTGATTCACTCACTAGGTTGTCAGTCTTCCTCGCTCGCTGCAGTAATCCAATGCACTCTTCGCTTAGCCTCAAGTGCTTCCGACGTAGCAATGCCCGCTTTCGCCGTCCGCCCGACGCTTCTTCCAGCTCTTGCATCTGACACATGGCTCGGATGTAAGGGACATATTCGGTCATTATCACGCTGCGGACTGGATTGTTGGCCAGTCGCCAGTTTAGTACCCGCCTCGTTGCCTCCATGCAATCCTTATAGGCACTTGTTCTATATTTGACATATTCGTCTCATAATACTTCAGCCTGTGCTCGTCCGCATGATCGCCCAATTTCTTTTTTTATACTTCCACTACTGCTTTTATCTGCAAGAATCACTTACCGACTGTAGCACAGCCCTCCCCAGATGCCACCGCTTTCTTGGATCTCCCCTTGCCACCTGCGATCCTGCACCCGCTTGCTGTTCAGCCTCTGGATCCTGTTGTCAACCTCCCACAACTCTGGCACAATCTCGTCGTCAGTCACCTTGATTGTGCCCTGATCCCCACAGATCTGATCTTTTGTTTCAGCTTGTTCCAACAACACCTTTGTTAATCAGGTTCAAGTGGTTAGATTAACCAATTACTACTCTCTGCCCCTACCTAGAGGCAAATGTAAACACGACCCACCTGACATTGGCCTGTCTGTCGTGTAATCCATGCGTCCGAGTACGCAGCTGTCTCTAATCCTTGGCAAATACTGACAAGGTCGGACGAGTGGAAAAATTGCTTGACGTTGCTGCCACTGCTGCTATTACTGGCTTTGACTGAGTTTTTCTTTCTGTTGTGCAACTGGCAAAGCTCCAGCAAATCTGCTTCATTCCGCTGAGCTTCTGTCGTCAGACGCAGTACAAGATCATAGCTATCGGTTCCCATGTACTGACTGAACATCCGAGGACACGTACGAAACCGCTTTCGGCCCATGTCGTCTTTGGTGAGTTCACCACCATCCCCAACATTGCGCGCCATCGTGTTATTCGGTTGCTTGCACCATACTTCCAAAGTGTGAATGAGTTGCCGCAGGTCACTGCCCATGCTGGCTATGAGATAAAGCAGATCGGATGGATCGACTGCATATCCCTCCTTGAAACAAAGTAGCTGCAAGTATGGCAAGAGACTGTGCGTCGTCTGAGGATGGATTTCAATCGCCTTTTCGAGTTTCAATGTTTCCGTTGGCACCATATCCGTATCTACTCACAGCGCACAGAACGGCACAGTTTGGTTCAATTGATCTACTAGGTACAGACAGAAAGAGCGTAGCGCTTACCATTACAAGTCATAATGATCGGTCGCTTGCTCTTTTGAGCTAGTTCCTGAACTGCTGCCCAAAAGCCCTTGTCGTCTTCATAGAGTAAATCCACTTCTTCCAGAAGGACCAGACTTTGCTTGGTTGGTGCCACTGCATACTTGACAACCTGTTGTGGCTTGTCTGCCTCCTCTTCTGCCTCTACATTGTAATCCATCTCCTCCGAATCGCTCGTCGGCTCTCGGTTGTCGGGTTCTTCGTCTTCTTCCATTCTATCCGAAGAGGTTTTGCTGGACATTCGTGTAAAATGACTTATGATTGAGTTGTTGCTGCTTCTCTGCTTCTTTTTGTTGTCTGTACATGCACCCATGTTGGTTCGACGCTTCTTGTTTCCCCCTTGGCTTGATTGCTGTTGCTTTTGTTCTTCGTCTTGTTGCTTCTGTTTTCGTTTTGTGGAGGCAGATGTTTTTTGAAACATGCTTGTAATATCTACCTGGGACTTGTCGACGGCTGGTGCAGCAGCAGCAGTAGTAGTAGCAGCAGTATCAATAAAGTTTACTTGATGACTATTAATCATTTCGCCCACAGCTGCCATCAGATCCTTTCCTGCACGACGCATTCCAGCATTGATTTCAAACACCTCATAACCAACTTGCTGAGCAGCAGTATAGACACTGGCAGTTTTACCGACACCATGCGGGCCGAAAATAAGCATCATGTTCGATTTAACCTTGCCATTGACCTGCTCCTTGCGCAACCGCTTGCGTTGTTTCTTGGTCTTTGTGCTACCACCCATGGTAAAGTCAGAATCATCGCTATCGCCTTGGACTTGACCCGATGGTTCTGAAGGATAGACCCACTCGTCCTCTTCTTCAGAAAATGAATCCTGCAACGACAGGTCTTCAAGTGCCAAATCAGGCGAGCCTTCTTGTCTGCGTCGCTTCGATTTTCGTCGAGATACACTGTTGGTGTTTCCGCAAAAGCCTTGTTGTTCTTCCAATGCTGCAGTTGTTGGCGAATAGACTTTGAGCTGCTGAAGCCATTTGAGTAGATAATTGTGCGCACGATGATCACCAAGCAGATCAGTCACGGTTGAAGGTCGATACTTTTCGGTCCATGGCAAATGGTCCCTGTCTTCATTAGAGCCAAGATAATCATCATCATCATCACCTTCGACGTTGTTGTCATCAAACAGAGACTCGTATAAGACTTGGCATGGTGGTATCTCCTTCCAAAGACTTTCCGGGTAGATGCTGTCCATGATATCTCCAATCTCGGCATGCGACAACAGTCGAACGCCATCATCCTTTGCAAGTTTCGCCTTTTTACTGGATTGTCTAGCTTTGGATGTCTTTGTATTTCCGCCACGAACAGCATATTGTTTACGTTCTTCGTCCTCGGTTTTTTGCTTCTGTTGTTGTTGTTGCTGCAGATGGTCCTTTTGACGAGATACTGCCATAGATTCAAAGAATGCCCGCCCACTGCTCGTGACAATATCTTTAACGTACATAGTGGATCGTCTGGTGTTGAGCAATGATGCATTGAAGCCGGTGTTGCTCTGGTCTAGAATGATGCCGGCGTCCATCGATTCTGTCTCCATTGTTTGTTGCCGGACATGTCCTCCTTCAAACATCCATTTATCAGGCCATATGGCGGGTCCTTTAGGTGGATATGCAGGCTGTCTTTGAGTAGGTTGCTGCTGTTGCTCGGGTTCGTTCGCATCAGGTCCGTAAAAATCCAAGCGAGCTTGCTCCAGTGGCGAGAGATGGCTGGTGTCAGTCTCCTTCTGTCGTTCTTCTGCGGCGCGTTGTTCTCTTAAGGCTTCTTGATATCTGGCATAGCGCTTGGCTGCTGTTGTTGAACTTTCAGCAGGGTATGTCTGTTGTTGGTTAGCAGTGTTCAAAGCAGGTCTTCTAACTGGAGTTTGTTGTTGTTGTTGTCGGCTGTCTTGCTCCTGCGGTTGTCGCTTCTTTTCTTGGTTCCTTTGGAATGGTTTTTTAATTTCCTTCTGCTCCTCAGGATCGCGCTGGTAGCTTGACGGATTCCTCTTGGTAGAATCATTGTTGTTGAGCTGTTTGGAAGACGGTTTATCCGGAGCGCGTTTGTAGGTTGTTCTGGCTTGCGTTTTGGTGAAAAAAGGATGCAAGGTCTTTGACTGATTTTCACTGGCGTCGGTCGTCATGACTAGTTTTTATTCTGCCTGTAGTGTAATCTACAGGTAACGAAAACGAGGTTGCTCGAATCAAGCACAAAAAACGAACGCGGGTAAAGTGTAAAAAAAAGGCGTCGCGCACGCGTCTCATTTTTCTTCTTACCCTCTCCGATTATACGCGCGGAGACACGAGGTGCCTTACTTAGCACTAAGCGCCATTATTACTAGGTCATCCCAAACGATTAACCGTGCACGATTGTGAGAGGTTTAAGACGGTGGTTATATATGTGGACAGAATGTTATGAATAAAAAATCTTGATACAATGTACAGAGTGCTCTTTTCGAAACACATCTGCAGATTCCATGTTTTAAGCACTAAAGCTCTTTTAACGTTGTAACATTTACAGAAAAAAGAAAAACAAAACGACGAATGAAAAAGTGTATTATGCTTGTTTAAACGCTCTTGGCAACCTCTGCAGAGAAAACAAAGAAAAGACATCGTATGAGTGATCCGCGTAATATAATCTATTACCACTCCCGGCCCACTCTATCACTGTAACTTACTCTGGATATCAACAACGGCTTGGTCCAAGATTTGTTGTTGAACCTTGGGGTCCTTCAAGTCTTGCTGAATCTTCTCAATCAGATAGGCAGCCAGCTGCTTCTGCTCACGTTCACGGAGGTTGGTTTCGTGACGGACCCACGAGTCAAGGGTACCCTTAACTTCATGGGCAACAGCAACCTGCTGCTTCAGGGCGAAAGCCTCGGCTTCCACACGGGCGGTCTCACGCGAAAGTTCAAAGAGAGACTTGGTGACATCGACGAGATCCTTCATTTGACCAGCCTCGTTGATGCGTTCCTGAACGGCAGACTTGTGGTCTTCACGGGCCTTGTTCAAGATGTTCTTGATGCGCTGTATACATTTGAAATAAAACAAAAGAGAACAAATGAGTCTTTGAGTACGTGGTTTCCCTCCCTCTGGTATGTGATCATCCAAAAAAAAGAAAAGACACGTTACGTTAATGTGGTCGTTGGCCATGTTGTTGTAGGGTTCACGCAAGTACTTGATCAAAATAGCCAAAAGACCACCACTGGCGACCAAAACAAGGGTTTCTTCGTTGAAAACGTAGATTTCCTTCGAGATGAGGAAGGTAGCCAAACCGGTGCTCAAGGTAACGAAACCGGTCTTGGAGACGAAAGAGTTGCCGGGCAAAGAATCAACGATGCTGGCAGCCTTCTGCTTGGGCTCAACTACATGCATACAATTTAAAATTAGCTCAAGAATTCACGTTTCAAAGCACTTTTTTTCGTCTTCTATACAAATTCTGCGCGTTATATTTCGTTCTAACTCACCTTCCTTACCAGTGCTGTAAGCACGGACGCTATAATTTACCAAATTGCATTAGTCGCAACCGCTCGTTTAATTTTGACGTTCGAGATAAGCACAGCTCAAATTGCCTTTTCGAACCGATTGAGAAAAAAGGAGGATGGGGGAAAACTTACGCAGCGGCACCAGCAGCTTGGCGTGAAATGGTCAATGCGGGACGAGCGACGGCAGCAGCTAAAAAGAATATATCAATTCAATGGTGGCATTAGCGTGGCTTCTATCGTAAATTCCATCGAGATTATTTGTTGTTGAATGTTTTACCCGCAGCACCCTTGGTCAACAATCTGAAAGCCATTGGCTACAGAAATGAGAAGAGATATTGAATTCAGAGTTAATTTATGATCGCATTGGTCCGCTTTTCCCGTTGGTTGTTTGTTGTGGGGTTGTTGTCTGCTACTATGAACTTACAAGTTGCAGAGGGGTAGATACGGCAAAAACTTAACTGTTTTTTGCCTTTTTTTTAAATCCTCCCCCTCTGCAAAAAAATTTGGCCGGGGTTGCTATTACACGTCACATCCGTCCTGCTCGTATCACCTCTTTCTCCGTCTTTCTGCTTTCTGACAGCCCGCATTAACCGATGCTTCATGCCTTTATTACAAAGGATCAACCCGTTATCAGCTTGCAGCTGGATGTGATGCTTAAAGTTAAAGACTATGCTATATACAGCAGATGCTGCTGCAACGGGCTATAATAATGCAGCTCGACTATATTACACTTGCTTTTGTCATACTGCATGGATACGCTGTCAAGAAGTACTTTGAGCCAGTGCTATTTAATTAGGCAATCATAGCCCACATGGAAGCCTACATTACACTTGACATGTTTGGTGACAAAGTATTTTATTACTTTAAATAGTTATGGATACCTTTATTGCGAATTTCTACCTCATCCTAACCAAGCACTCACTTCTCGCATACTGTAGTGCAAAAGACAGTGACTAAATTATGATCATCCAGATAGTATTAATGCTGGAGTACCTAATGCCACTGTTCGGGTCATTGGCGCAAGTACGTATTATACTCTATGTTGAAGCATGCTTCTTCTCTTTGTTACCTTACTATTACAGTGGTGGATTGTGATTACTCATGGTTCCTTCTTGTATGTGCTTAAAAACAGTTCATGGATATGCTACTGTTCCTGTTGATACACCGGCGTATAAACAAACCATGGCCATGATTACCAATCAACTGAGTGAAGCTTTTGAGAAAAAGTGAAGTACTACTGTATTATGCGAATGTTTCTCTGAGCAATGTAATCGTCGGTGATACTGTGTAACATATTATAATAAAATTTCCCATGCAGCAGCAGCATAACCTTTTATGCATTTTTACTGTTGAATCGTTTGTTGTCCCATACATTTATACAGTGGTTCCCCTAATATTTCATTCTTCAAATTCATGGAAACCAGGGATTGTGAAAGTTAACGAAAGCTAGGTCAAACTGCCATGTACAGATTCTTTATCCAAACAGATCTTGATGTTACATGGATTAACCAACACTCAAGAAAATTGTCACTCTAACGGTCATGTACTTTATGTAGCCTATTGTCCGATACATATACCTGGCCGTATCGACATATTCTACACTACTTGATTCTGATGTTGAATCACATAATTCACATTGTACATTGCCTGCTGTCAAATACATTTACCGGGCCGAATTAACCTTTTCTTCATATACATAATAGATAAAGATACACCAAATGAAGAGACGATGGACGACCCTAACAAGGCTAGCGCAAAACTGTGAAAGAATTTCCACACCATTTCGGGAAGCCTTTCTGAGCATGCTCAAACGGTCGTAGGTTCGACCTCTCACTGCTGTCTGGTAAAAACGTCTTGCCTATGAAAAACAATCATCTCGCAGAATCCCCGGTGACAAATTGGATAGCCAACGCTTATGATAGATTTACCCATAGAAGCACACCGATGTGCCCTAGTTTTTCAACAGGTTTCAGATTGTGTGTTTAACGTAATTGTCAGTTTTGACATTGTACATATACTAATAAAAAAAGGCTTGTATTGTGGTAAAGTTATTCTTGGTAGTTAAAGGTTACAGAGTGAGAGAATCCCTTACATACAAACTCATTGTTTCTCACACAATCTTGCAGTTGACATGCACTTGGAAGAGCTTTATCCGAAGGCTGGGTCATACACGGGCACTTGAATTAGTGTTACGGGCATGCGTCATAAAGTGAGCCGGAAGCGACGACAAAACAAGACAAGCCAAAGACAGAGGAGAGATGAATCTAGGTCAAGGCAAGAAGAATATCGGAAGGTCAAGGAGACCAGATGATGAGAAAGGAACAAGGAACAAGTCGAGTGATTACATTTATATTTATGAAGGTTGATAAGTTGGGTGATGATTGACGATAAAGATGTTGAGGGATTGAGTAGAGGTCAACGAATAGTCATGACAGGAAGGGCCTCTATTGGGGTTAAAGCGATGCAAGCGAAATTTGAAAAGTGACCCACAAGTCGCTTCAATAGCGGACGTTGCCCATAAATTGTGCCATTCGCTGCGAAAAAAAAATTCTCAACGAATTGGATGCGGTGAATAAAGCCAGCAGTGGTATTCCAACTGTGTCGGGGGCCTTCGAGCTATCGCCGGGTTGACATCGTGCTTCTACTTTTCGAAGTAGGAGTGGGGAGCTGAAAGTTCTTTTAAGAATGATCAGTTTCTTTTCCCATTCGTTCCCCACTTTTTACACAAAAAAAAGAAAATGACAATAATATAGCATCTGGAGCAAGTCCAGCTTTTACTCGCTAAATTTTCCCCAATTATTTTTTTTTTCGGGCGAGTCCAACTTTTGCAAGCGGACCAGCTTTTGCTAGCGGACTCACATATAATCTTAGCGAGTCCTATCAGAGTCTGTCAACTTTAACAAAGCAATTGTCAGCAGTGCTAGCAACATCTACGTTTTGTGTGATTATTCTTAAGGCAAAGGGTTGTGTGCCATCAAAGAAGAATCGGCTTGGGCTCACATGTATTAAATTAAGCATAATGGTTTAAGTGTGGTTGAAAATCGACTTCCCCATATGCCCCTAAGCACCAGTGAAAGATGCTCTCGCGACAATGTGCCGAATAAGGAAGCATGTCGATCCTGTTACACACAGTGCTTGTGATCCAAGAAAGAACGATGAGCACATTAAAAGAGCAGGAGGATTTTCGTACGGGTTGTTTTTCTGATAAAAAATGACTGATGCCGCTGCCTTGTGGTGATGTAAAAGAACCTATCTTTGATCAATGGATTCATCACCGCAGCCCTGCGTAAGATTTACCTAAACAGACTGCTGCGGCGTTCGTGCGACTTCGTTTTCATGGCAACCCGTTGCTGATAGCGTACTCTTTTTAACCCTTCCGGTCCACCACGCGGTTTTATGTGTTATCTATTTATATCAGCTCGGTTTGCATGAAGCAATGATCCTTTCTTTCTTTCTTTCTTTTTTCACACACGCCCTTTTTCCTTCTCTGTGTCGTCACACACACACACACAACACGAATAAGACAAGACCCATGTCTAGCATCGAACCTTTTGAAATCCCGTCCATTCCACCTCAGCGTCTTGCTTCGCTCAAAGAAAAGCTACAGAACGTTGAGTATCCAAACGAGCTCGAAAAGAATGTCGGCTGGAAGTATGGTGCACCTCGACGAGCTGTTGAGCCTCTCGTTCAAGCCTGGCTCAACGACTACAACTGGGAAAAGGCGCGTGCCGAAATGAACAAGTGGCATCACTACCGCGCGGAAATCCAAAGTTTACGGGTGCACTTTATCCATGAACGTTCGAGCAACCCTGATGCTGTTCCTCTCCTCATGCTGAACGGCTGGCCGTCAAGCTTTTACGAATATCACAAGGTGATTGATTCTCTTCGAGACGGTGCTAATGGCGGTCAGGTAAGTAGAGAGAAAAACAAACACTCTTAAAAACGAAAAGCTGCGATGATACGAATGAAAGACGCGCATACGCAGGCCTTCCATGTGGTGATTGCAAGCCATGCTGGATTTGGCTTTTCAGAAGCACCCAAACTTCCCGGCCACGGTGGCTCAAAGAGCGGTGGAATCTTTCACGAGCTCATGACATCAGTACTCGGTTACGATGAATACAGTAAATGTGACCGTTTCGTTGGATGCAATACCAAGAGCATGTGCTGATAAATGTATACCTATATCTGTTCAAGTGGTTCACGGATCCGACTTTGGCACCATGGTCGGCAAATGGCTCGCTGTCAAGCATCCTCAGCAGTGCAAGGGATTCCACACGGCCACGTCCGGATGTATGCCACCCATCCCAACGCCCGGTTTTCTATGGTCCCACCCACTCAAGGTGGCAAACTTTATGGCTAGCATCGCTCTCGGTATGGACACAGTCTATGGTCGTGGTTCTTCCAAAATCAAGGGCCGATCGTTTGTCGACGTTGAAAATGATCCTGAACTTGGTTACTGTGCCATCCAGAGTACACGACCGTACACTTTAGCATATGGTTTGACTGACAGTCCAATGGGCCTTTTGGGTAAATGCATCATAACCCCATCTATCATCAATAATTGATCATTTTCCCCACTAACTGCCACAATAAATACTTAGCTTGGCTACTCGAAAAGTACCACAATTGGTCATATCCTGAAAACAAGGATGACAGTGTCGTGTTGCCAGACACCATCACCACTGACGAGTTCCTCACTCAGGTCACTCTCTTCTGGCTGACAAATTCGATTTCCTCGTCGATCCGTTTCTACTATGAAACCTTCAATGATGCAGGAGTGAAGGCGGTGTTCCCGCTTTACGTCAACATCCCGAGTGCAGTGTCCTGCTTCCCTGCTGATCTAAGCAAGGTATTACTTGATAAAAGATGGTGCGATTGTCATGAAACAAACAAGCTGACAGCACGGTGACTGAATCTTACTATGTAGGTCCCTCGCGAATGGCTTGAAGCAAACTTCAATTTGCAGCAATACAACGAACTCGACATGGTATGTACATATATGCTTTTGCTTCACTATGGTATTCTCTTGCTCACTCTCTGCTATCTTTAGGGAGGTCATTTTCCGGCCTTGGAGTGTGGAGCGGTGCTGGTGGATGAGGTGCAACGATTTGGCAAATTTTTGAAGACGATGGAATACTTAAAGTAGCGATAGCAGCAGCAGTTTTGGCTGTCATGGTTCCCCTTCTCCTTAGCAGCAGTAGCAGTATTAACCTTTCTTTTTCTTACCTGGCTATCTTTATAAAGTTGTTCATTTTTTTTCGCGGTCTCTACTCACGTATTATTACTGCCTTATACACTGGGACTCCCACTATTGAGATACGTTCCTGAGAGCTCTTGAATAGACTGATACTGACTGATCTTCTCGGGTGTAATGGTTAGACGTGTATCAACGTCAAATGAAGGCTGACCATCGTTTTAGGCAACTTGTTTCTTTTCTGGTAAACAGGTTCAGCCCTGTCCCACCTGACAGCGGAATGACCGTCAATTCTGTCAGAGGAAACTTTCGTCCGTCTGTTTTCGCGCATACATGTACTACACACGCAAGCTTCTTTTTTTAATGTAATCTCAATGGTACTCGCCGTAACGAGATGATGGAGCAGGAATTTACTGGAGCAAATGTATGACCTATGTAATATACATCAAACATCAGCTTTACACCTAACAGGGTTCTCGAGACAGAGTTGTGTATAAGCGTACTCAGATGGTACATGGATGATACTCTCTTCGCCCTCTTTCTCTTAACCTTCTTACCCTTCTTCGTACAGTAAACAATAAACAACACGATTTGTTTGCTGTACGTAAAGTCATTGTTTACGTTTGACCAGTATTATTAATTGACTTCATTACGTTAACAAAGATATATTAAAAGCTGGTCATTAGCCATTCTTCGTTCTTTCTATACTTGTTATGCCAATACTTTGCAACATGTCCATCCCAACGGTATATATAGAGCTAACACATCCAATAAGATTGATCTCACAACGGGCTTTCATTGCTATCATATCGTCATTTCTTTTTCGCATTAAGTTTTGTAAGGGATATATCCAGAATCTGTATAATACAATCAGGATAGTAGTAATAATCGAAAATGAATATGCTTTCATTTATTGAGTCTTTTGCAAAACATGATAAACGTGAAAAAAAGAAGAATTGGAAAAACGCTGTACAAAAAAACGGGCGAGAAAAACAAATGGGCTATAGCAAAGGAATGTGTACGTAGTAGGGATGAAGCTTTCATTGCACTGGCACAACACCTGTGGAGGGTGTGCGTGAAGGAGTGCTACATACATTGACGCCACTCTTGTATGCTTGATTGATTTGTTGACGGATAAGTTGGAGCAGTAAACGATGACGCTGAGCTTCAGAAATCTTCTTGTTGTTCTTGTCTGTTGCTTTGTTCAGGTCAGGATACAGTGATGCTTCTTCGTCCTCTTCCTTTGTTGCTGACGGTCGTTGTTGATCTTTTTGCTTTTTCTTCTTTAAGCTCATATCGGACATGTCTCGGGCAAGGATATCCAGAACATCTTGATTCTTTGGTGACATTGTCTTCTTTTGCTCTTCTGACTTGACCTTAATCTCTTTATCTTCTTCTTCATCTTTGTAGTTGTCATGGGTCGTCGGCACCACCGGTGATGATTTGGACCGTGAAGAAGACGACGTCATGTTTCCTTTGTCGTTAAAGACGTTGACCATCGTGGTAAGTTTCTTCTTGTCGTCAGTAGATACACCACGGGCAGACTTGGTAGGTGTAAATGACTGTTCTGCCGTGGCCTTGTCTACCAGACCCGCGCTAGGTGTCTTGTGGGTTTGGTGATTCTTGGAAGAGGACGGATTATGACTGGTGAAATTCACGGCGGTTCGAAGGTCGTGGTCAAAGTAGCTGGATGTGATGTCGGGTACATTCATGATATGATCGCGTTGGCTTACAAGCATATCGTTTGGATCATAACCATTTGCTCCTGTGGGCTGCATGCCCATCATCACATCTTGATGATTTGCAGCCATCAAATCGCTGTACAAGCCTCCATCCATGTTGGACATTGGATGAGAACGGACATACATTTCTTGTTCTTGTGATGATGACGACGGGTATAGTCCTCCACCGTTGTTAACATTGGCAACTGTTGTCGCTGCTGCCGCGCCAGGATGGTCGTAGGAGGATAGCATATGTTGTGTGTTGTCATAGCATGAAAGACCGTACATGTCTGTTGAGGTTGATGTTGCTGAGGTTGGTGTTGCTGTATTTACATTTGCAGCAGGATCCATCATCATGGCATCTTCGGCGGGCGGTATTTTTTGTGAAAGGCGTTCGAGCCAAGCATTGATGTCAGCCAATTCTTGATCGCTGGTCACATTCATGCTCAAGTCAGCTGGACTCACCGCACCAGCATCAAGCATGTTTTGCAGTACATTCAGCTGATCTGCAACACCTTAAATAGGCAAAATGGGGAGAGAAAGAGACAAACAATGCATTGATAAACAAGTACGTTGAAGGAGAAAAAAAAGGTCAATTAACGATAATGCTTGACTAGTATCAATACTGGTAATTTACCTTGGTTGTATTCTGGCGCATCCATGGCGGGGAAAATCATGTTCGAAATGAGCTGGTCGGGCGAATGTTGTTGATGATGATGATTATGACTATGATGATGTGGCTGTTGTTGCGGATCAAAAGGAGGTACGGCATAGAGGTTTTGCGAGGGTACGGTGGGTGGTTTGCGGTTATAATCAACGCTAAAGTGGTCGGATGCGGATGTGGCGGGAGAGATGCTATTGCTGTGGTGGTGAATCCAGCTCAAGCTGTCGTCCTCAGAGTAGATGCTTTGTGGCGGGGAGACAGGGACGCCAGGGATGTTGCGCTCCTTGACAAGTGGGAGCAGGCCCATGTCGGGTTGTCTCGGTGGAGTAAGGGGTTGCATGATTTTTGATGAAGGGCGGCTATTGTTTGTTCGCTCGTCGTTGTGTATTTTCTCATGTTTCTTTAAGTCTTGCGGTCGTTTGAATGACTTTTCGCAAAACTATACATAAAACCAGTGTGAGTCAACAAGGCATATTTCTTATTTGCGGCCATCGTTATATTTTTCTTGTACGAAAAAAAAAAGGACTTACACCGCAGTGGTGCGGTTTCAGAGGAACGTGCACCCGCAAGTGACTAGTGATATGGTCTCGTTTGACTACGCTGACGTCGCATTGTTCCCAATGACAGGTGAGGCATAGATTGCCAGTAGATTTGCGGCCGACATGGTCGTTTGTGAGATGACTGTAAAGTATTTCAGCATCTGTGTAAGTCTTGGCGCAATCGCCCCAACGGCAAATAAAGATAGAGGAATCCGCAGCTGTAAAGTCAGAGGCAATGTCCATAAGAGAATGGGTCGTGGAGAAGGTAGAGAGAGGAGAGAGAAAGACGAAAAAGAAAGGAGCTGGGGTAGTTTAAGGGCTGGGGTTGTTTTTTTCTGTAGTGCCAAGAAAGCAACTGAGCAAGTACGTATGTGTTCTTCTACCAGGAAGGTGCTGTTGGAGTGGGGGATAGACAGATTTTATATAAAAGAAGAGATACAGAAAAAATAGGGTCAAGCGGTCTTGGCATTTACTTCGCATGCAGACGCAGTGGCGGTCCTTTATTCTTTGATTTTTGTGTGGTTGTGTAACACTTGTAGTGGCTGGTGATGAACTGTGAAACCATCAGTCCTTGGCTCTTTTTCCCTTCTTCCCAATCGTGTTTTGGGACCGTCATCCCACACAGTATTCCTCAGTGTAATACATGCACCCACATACACAGCATAAAGCAGAGCACAGTGCTGTGTGCTCTACCAACGCACAGAGCTCAAAGGGTGCCATGGAATGTCACAGGGGTATAGCGAGATCGGGCATGCCCGGGGACTTGTTGTGCCTGCCGGAATATCGGCAGTGGTCTCCCAGCATGCTTCATTTTTAATATGAGCAATGCGCTTACTACGCAATTGACTAAAAAAAGGTTCATGATCATACACAGCGACTGAGGGGTAACATTATATATAGTGCTGGTAGCACGAAACATCATTGGCGTTATATATAAATATATCCCTATGGACATTTCTTATTGCAATATTACTTAGTACGATGGCTGCTGCTGTTATTAGGGAATTCTCAAGGTTCCTTGATGAAGATCGTCTGGTATAAGCTATTGACATGTCGACCACGCTGTACACGTGAGGGAAAGTGTGTAGAAAGGCCTCGCTGAGTCAACAATAACAAGGAATTGTACACCTTTGGTCACTGTTCACTCCATAAAGAAAAAAGCCAAGAGTTTCCATACATACCCCATTCTCATCATCACAGCCAACAAAGATCGCTCACACACTAGATATATATTTATAGATCATTAGACTTTGTCGCCATCAGAATCATGCTGTTTGTTGTCGTCTTAACCACGCGCTGCTGCTGCTGCTGCCATACTATGTATGATCTCCTTGTTAAACAAACCGCCACAACAGCATCAGTGGCAGAGTATGTGTAACCACTAGCTTTATAGAAGAATGGCGTGAGACTCTTTTTCACTTTTGCAACGTATAGTACGTGCTGAGGTGTATACAAACCGCCACCACGCTCCGTAGTGCCAAGAAAAAAGAACGCACATTTCCCTGTGTATAACTAGCTAGCTGTATTTGTCCCCCGGGTCCTGCACCGAGCCGTTGGTTTTGCGTTCTATCGAGACTCTTTATAGTCATAAGCGTACTAATGATCGACACTTCTTTTTTATTCTTCCCGGTTATGCACTATTTCCAATTGCGAGTTTTGAGTCGGTGTGTCAGTAGAACGGAGCAAACTGTCAACACAGTATTTGCCAAAATGCATAATGTACAATTAGCATCATGGTAACACCTCATTCGTAATTAATTAAAAAGATGTAGTTCGAGTTCTGTGGCAACCACTTGAATGACCCCTCTCAAAGTGACACAGCCTACTCGGTTTCGTTATTCATCAAGAAAAATTACGTCAGAGAAGTTTTCAATCACAGAGTAAAACTTTTTCATGTTCCCACAGCGACGCGTCGCAACTGTACCTTTGTTGTTTTGTCAATTGCTCACCTACAACAATGGCCTCTGCATCTGATAGCCTTGGATACCTTGTCCGTGTCTTTCCCACCTACCCGACCGAAGTAGTTACAGAGACTTTTGACAACCAGCAACAACTTGACGAGTGGGTTAAAGAAAACCCCAAGCAGCCTGCCAACTTCATCACCAACAACAAGTACATCTCTGTACCCAAGGCTTCAGATGCACGCCGAAACAATACCGGCCGTCCTCGGACAGTTGAACGTAGTATCACTTTTTTTTGTGATCACTCAAGAGAAACATCGGCTCCAGCTATCCCTGCTCTGCCCATAGACTCAACTGAACCTGCTCCCATCAAAAAACGTCGACTTGCAAAACCATCTATTAAAGTAAATTGTCGTGCTCGATACCGTATTCAATACTTATTCTCAGGCAAAATCAAACTTGTA